ACCTGGAAAGTCACTCGAGCTAGTTCTGTCTCATTTATAAATCAGATTACTTTTTTGTGATATACTTTCCTTAGAGATGATACAATAGAGAAAAAAATTACACTGTCAATTCAAGATCTTCAAATTGGTCTGTTATGCATAGCATAGAGCAGGTGTCTTCATGAGTGCTGGGAAATCATTCCACTTTACAGTATTTTAAAGCTAGCAAAGTCTGTTTTAAAATCAAACAACTTCCTTGCATTGTGATAAATTGTTCTTTTAAATATGATTGTAAATTGGAAGTCGGAAAATGCCACCATACAAATCACGGTTTTGAGATACAATGCTATCGAAGACGTTTGCTGACAAAGTGGCAGCTACAAACTGATTGTTTAGGTACTGGAGATCCTGATTCACTCGTGCAAAGCACTGAAAAACCGTCGGTTTTGTCATCTTACCGCTTATATTAACGAAAGAGTCCATCAACATTCGATTTCGGGTAAAAATCTTCATTCAATTCTAATGGTCAGTTAAATATAGATAGGTTATTGTATTGAAGATACATCAACAGCTGAATTGAATCCATGTTTTGAGAGGGCAAATACGGCAAACGGGTGAGTGCTCCAAAGATAAATCTTTCATTCCTTCCAAAAAATTTTTACCGAGCAGCTCTTGGACAATGATATTGGTGCGGCCTCTAAAATGATATGTCTAAACTAAGTTGTGGATGTCAGAAGATGCATTAAATTGGTCAACCCAGAAATCATCAATTTTAGTATGATCTGTTAGGAAGTTGAAACAAGGACAAGTGGATAACGCTGTTCAAAATCGTAGGTAAGATTCGTGTTCAAACTAAAAAAAATGGGTCACGTTGGTCAGAATAGTGTCTTATAGGCACCGAAAAGACGTATCGTTGATGTGATTTTATGGCTGTCATGTGCTCGCTTACAGCAAATCCCAATTGAAAATGATCGTCAAAAACTATCGATTGAATGAATAATTCATGCATCAAAATTTGAGCTTTCAGTTGCTGCTTCATCGATAGAAGACGCTGGATGAGCGATTGCGCTGTTTCAGCAAACTGCAAAAAAGTTATGCAAGAAATTATTATATTTCGTACACTTCCGTGCTTTTGAATTGGCAACAAAGATGAAGTATAAGGCCAAAGAATTTCCACAGGAGCTTTCTGATAGAATTAGACGTGTGAATATTCGTCATGAAGCTTTGCTTGCTCAGAATCTAGAGAAAATTGAAAAGCAACAAAGAACAAGAGCTGAGCAGTTGGAGTCGTCCATTAAATTTGCGGAGCGGCAAGCAAAATTTGCGAAGAATGGGCTTGCCTCTTTTCGTAGAACAACAAGCACTTACTCAATCGATAATAGCTTTCACGAAGACACACGTAACAAAAGATTACTAGGTTTTCTTGATCGCCAGGTTCAAGGATACCGAAGAACATTAGAAAAAGCCAAATCAAAAGCGGATCAAAACAAAGTACCAGAACAGATATTGCTGGTCACTGACAGGACACCTGAGACAAGTTTTGATGCCTATTTTCCACCTCTACGAAAAAAAAAGGTATCCAGACACTAAGGGGAGTACAATGTAACCATATAACAAAAAATAGCTTATCTGTAAATACATTGGTTGTAGCAGTGTTTGTAAATACATTACTTTTAGCAGAGTTTACCGACTGTAAAGTCACAAAGAAGGATGTTGGCACTAAGATCTGACTTAAGAATGTTCAAGGGTGAAGATGAGAAAAAGATTATGTCCGACCCAAAGCATCCTTCAAAGGGGTGTCTAAAAAGAGCAAAGAACATACAGTACGTTGACTATAGAAAAGTGGTGATAAGACGTCTTGCATAAACGCAGACGAAAGGTAACTTATCGCAGCGGCTCTCCTCCTAGGGAAAAACAAATAACTTCTGATTTTCTAAAACTGATGCTGGAGCTGCACTACGACAAAGAAAGGAACAAAAGTCCTGCCTCATTATGCCACAGTGAAGCAATCGATTCGTATACATTTGTTCACGCTCATATTTTGACAGCGCAAATGTTTCGAGCGACGGGCGTAATTTATTTTTGACAGAATGTTCAACATCTCGAAGAAGTGGCGTTGTGTCAATAAAAATATATCACAATCGTTTGAGATGTGCAACAGGGCAACCTTAGTAAGGTAGAGTACGGCAGCTGCTAAAACACAATTAACAGCTTGCGACATGCAATCAGAATTTAAAATCCTGTTTCCTATGTATAATGTTCGATAGTCTTTTGATTAAATACAAAACATACGTTTTAAATCTACTTTATACAAAGTCGATTCAATATGTGATATTCTCTGTAATTATACAACTAAGAAGAAGTTTGATGCAGCAGGTTATTTGAGAAATTAAAGTACCGTTAAAATGGAAGGAGTTTTGCATGAGTAACTTTTACGAGGAAATTAAGTTTACAGCATTTACCTTTTTAATGAGCATTTACCTAATCAGCGCCAAGTTGAAGCTACAGCAAAAACAGGTACCTTCTTTTGAGGAAACAAGTCTCCCCCTTCAGAATAGTTTTCTTTGAATTTGAATGTACTGGGATCATGAAACGTTTCAGAGACGGCGCTACAAAATTGAAACTGGAAGGGGGCTAAAAATAAAGTTTAGGGACATAGGAGGACTCACTATGGTTGGGTCCGACGCCAAAGAAAATTTTAAATTAAGCCTTCTAGAATGGTTAAAAATTTAACAAATTACTATACCGCTCAGACTAGACAATTCGACGATAAAAAAAATTTATTGATTTTTAGGAAAAATTTGGGAGGTGAGGAGTCATGCTAAAACTCTAGTGACAGATGTTGGGGAAAGAAGAAAGGGTGACCTTTATGACGAGAAGCTGTTGTATTGACTGAGAAAGTTCTACTCTCTGAACAGAAACTTGCATCTTCTTTGTCTCGAGTATTTTCAGTAGGCCATGTTTACACATTCAAAATGCAGACATTGCAATGATACAAAAAATTATCTGCTGCATTAATGCAAATAATAGACAAATAATAGAATATATATATATACCTAAATAAGTTAGTAAATAGAATCAAATAAAATCAAGCAGTATATAAACCGTTCTTTCCATTTTATTTCATACTCTGTTTCCAAAAATGATAAAAAAGACGGTCAGAAATTTTTTATCTCTTAAACATCTCCCCAGTGGCGCCGTGCCTGCGTTTTGGAGGATCGTATATCACGTTCCCTTTTCCCTTTCTCAGTTTCAGAGCAAGAACAAATATATTTTCGCAGGGTGGCGCTGGAGTAAAAGTAATGGTGGCGACCCTTATTTTATATATAACTGCCGATAAGAATTCTAAAAAACTGCTGAAAGGACAAATGCTGGATGAACTGGCGTATAAGAAAAGTTGATGCCCGATGACGAGTAGTCTACTAAAATTTACAAATATCTACTTCGCCACCTAAGATGAGAAAAGTTTAACAAAACATGGAAAAAGGGAAATAATAGATAAAAGATCTTTGAACGTTCCATTAATATAGAAGAAGGGACACAGAATCGTATGTTATGCCAAAAAACTGTTTACCTTATCAGAAAATTGGGGTCATTCGGGTTTACTGAGCATCGCAATCTTAAGGAAATTTATTGTGAACAGGGAAATCAGGCATTTTCTCTAACTTTCACGAAATTGATACACAGAATACTGAATTTTCAGTATGGTTTATTTTATCTTGGTTTTACGGATTCGCAGAATTCTTCACATGTTGTCTCGCAAAAGGGACATTGTCAAAGCTCGGTTCTTCTTGTAAGCAGCAACTATCAACAATTCTAAGACGCGAAATTTTGCTTAAAATGACGGTGCGTTTAATAACGTGGAACGGTGGGTTAAGCTGAAAATAGCGCGGAACGGTGGCGGATTTCCAACATGTTGACGACCACTTTTAGGAGGAAAACGAAATGTTTTTACAACTTTTGATTCCAAAAAATGTGTAACACAATATTTACACCACTCTTTTCAAAGGACAGGGGCGGCAGAGCGAATCTTGAAGTGAGGGGGGGGGGGGGGCGGTGTCTTCTTAGGACTGCAGCAGTGACTCCTTTAGGTCAATTTATGTAAAAGGAAGAATGACGTTGCACTTCTATAAGCACAGAGAGAAGTTCATTTGCAAAAGATAAGTTATTTAATTTATGTATGAAGAATGTTGGGATATTGTTCGTTGTTCGTAGCTGCTTGTGCAAATCATATGTTTTACTATCATATTAACTATCTGCACCTAAACCAACTAGATCTAGTGACTGCGGTCATTATTGAACAGGGGCTGTCAGAAAACGTACCAAAATATTTTGATTCAGTGATTTGTGAAATTTTCGGCCTAAAAAAGCTTGGATGCATGTTCTGCAATTGTCTTTGTACCATGAAATGCTAGGTTAATAAAGAAATAGCAACTACCCAATACTATCTTTCGACCTGGGTTGAATACAACCTTGCATGTTTTATAAACAAAAGTTTATATGGCTCATATTTCAATTTGAGAACCATGCAAGTCCTGGCACACATTTTAACATATATTTATATCCTTGAATAAAGAAATGTTATATAACAATTAGTTTGAACACGAGCAGGCTCAATTTATGGAACAGTGTTGACAATCAATTACTTTTTACAAAAACGTCTTTGTCCCAATCAAATCTCATCTTAATGTTATCATAAATGTTTCTATCTCAAATCATAGCAACAAACTAAATTAAGAAAAATGATACAATTTCTGTTTCCTTAAACATTATAGAATTACTGTGAATGACCTGAAAAGCAAAGATTTAGGGAAAACAAGGCATCAAAAAACTCTTCATCATACAGTTCAATAAAATTAAATATTAAATAATTTATTATATATTAAACAATTTATCAAATAAAATAACTTTTGATTGGCATGCATATTTATGTATTGTGTGTAATGGGGAAAAAGGCAAAATCTCCATTGCAAAATTAACAAATGTACAAAAATATTCAAATTCCCAAGCATGTACAAAAATTAGAACCAAAATCACTGTAATACATCAAACATATCATCATTGATAACTTCATATTCTTTGTCTCTGTACTTCAAAATATTAAGTTCTCTGTCTTTGGCAACAAATTTATACATCTTTTCAACTACATTTCTGATTGTTTTCACTTTTCCAAGTTCTGAAATAGTTTTGTAATATTCCCATTGCAAGTCACCACTGAGTCTATGAAAATGGCGCTCAGGTATACCTGCTTTGACTTTGTAACCTAACTCATTATTGTGATCTGTAAGCATTTCTTCATAAGTGGGAAGGGAGACTTCTTTTGTGAGCACATTCAATATCCACCTTGCTTGCATGGAAAAAAGTTGAAACGGGCAAACAATATTGCAAACACCAATAATTGACATTGATGGGAAACAAGCATTGAATAGATGCTTATACAGAGGATTAACTCTTCCATTGCTAACACTAACACCACAGCTTTTGTCCAAGAACGGAAAATCAAAACTATAGCCAGTGCAGTAAACTATGACATCAGCTTTAACCTGTGATCCATCTTCAAAGACAACATCACCATTTTCTCCAATGCACTTAATTGATGGTTTTTCGATGAAATTCTCAGGCAAAGTGGATATACCATGTTGACCGTTGTGACTTAAGTAGACACTTTTGGCAACCTGTGATATCTCTATGGCAATATCTCTTCCTGATGCTCTTCCTCCAAGTACAACTACATTCATATTATAGTATGGTTCTGGAACTTTGTAAAAATGACTATGCACCACTGAGCCAGAGAAAATATCAATGTTTGGAATGCTGGGTAAGTTTGGTTTAGAGAAATGTCTAAAAAGTAAAATAGATTGATTTCAAGTAATAGTATCAATAAGAATAATGAACAATCAGCTGCTTACTTTTAAAAACATAACTGGCTGTACCAAGGCCTATTATTCAAACTTTCAAGAAATTTTAGGTCTTCAAATGGATCATAACAGGAAATAGCAGTGAAAATTATTTCACTTATTTTTGGACTTCTTGTAGACTGAGAAGTAAAAAAGTGCAGCATGTGATTTTTTTCTATATATGACTAAAATTTTCAGAGAAATATTTAAACAATCTTTTGGTGGTACAAAACTTGTAAATGGCTTTGAAAAAAGCAAACATTTAGTAAACTAAAGCTTTTCGTCTGACACTCTTCAGAGTTTAAAACATCAGAACATAGATCCACAACTGGGTATATATATTTCCTAGCATAGAGTTTTCGATCTATTTTCTGACGTTTTAAACTCTGAAGAGTGTCAGACGAAAAGCTTTAGTTTACTAAATGTTTGCTTTTTTCAAAGCCAGAGAAATATTTTTGGGGATAACTATACATTTATCAAATAAAGAAATGGATGATATGAGGCTAGGATTAAAAAAAACATATGGATCATACCCATTGCAAATTACAACTGCATCATAGATGTTTATAGTTTCTGTGTTGTTTACATCTGAGGTGGTGACTTTCCATTTCACATTTAAATCTCCTTTTCTGTTATAATTACCATCCAGTAAAGGAGATATATGCTTTACTTCGGTTCTAAATCTGATAAACTGCCTTAGTTGAAAATGTCCACAGTATGCCTTCAAATATTCCAAAACATCTTTGTGGGAAGGAAATGTTTTGCAATCTTCTGGAAATGGGAAATCTGGAAACTCCATCACTTGTTTTGGTAAATTTGTCCTTGAAAAGAAAAAAGGCATTAACCAAATTGTTTTATGTTCAATGCATGGGGCTTTAATAAAAGGGAGATACAATGTAGATCACTGATTCTTAAAGTAACTGTAACTTTAATGCCAATACTTGGTATTTTTTCAATATCTTGCTAAATTAAATAAACAAAGAAATAGGTTGACAAATCAAACTAGAATAAATTGACAATTTCAAAATGTTAGAATAAAATAAAGCAAAGAAGAAAGCACCATAGAAATTTGTACCTTAAATTTTTGTACATGCTGGAGTGTATTGTGTCATTGTCAGCTAAAGCTGTAAGTTCTCTGTGCGTCAAATTAGTAAATCGACATGGAACACCATCATCACTAACTCCTTCATCATAAATCCATGTCCCACCAACTTCGTTACCCTGCTCGAAAACGACAAACTCAAACAGCTTTGGATGGGCTGATAAGTACCTTGCCATCGCAAGTCCAGCGGACCCTGCGCCTATGACTGCCAAATTGATCATGACAAAGAGTTTGTTATTCCTAACATCAAGTTCCTTATTTTATCTTGCTAATATAGATAGGCCTTATGCAACATTTGAGCTTCTGAGCAAATAAATTAAACAGAGGCAACAACGGAAGCATAACCTCATTATGAATTCGAGATTGGCAGTAAGGAAAGCAGAAGGCAGCATGGCGGGAGAAATTTACGGGGCTTTTCTTGCTGAGAATATTTCACAGTGTAAAGTTTTGGTTGTTGGTGCTGGCGGCATAGGATGCGACTTCTTAAGAACCTTGCACTCACGGGATTTTCAGATATAACTGTCGTATGTACCTTTTCTCCCGTAACTTATCGCGGTTATCATAACAAATAATAGGCCTCTTCCTCCTACTTAGTCCTAGTCTATTTCTAACAATATCAAAAGTTGCTGGGTACTCTTGTATATAATCTATTGTATTTACACTTAAAATACACTTATGAAGCATTTTTGAAAACATTTGCAAAACACATTTTTGTAAAAATCAAAGCATCGTTATAAATAACAGCCTGAATTGTATAAACTTTTCAAATTTTCTTGAAGGTAATGTTTTGTAAAATTTCAGTATGAATGTGTTACTTTTTTTAGATTGATCTCGATACAATTGATGTTAGCAATTTAAATAGACAGTTTTTGTTTCAAAAGAAGCATGTTGGAAAGTCAAAGGCAAAGGTTCTGTATTTTTATCTTATCTCTTTAAATTTGTTGAGCTTTTATAAGGGAAGCATGCCAGTAAATGTTTATAGGGATGTAAATTTTAAGTTTTTTGCAAGCCTCATAATTTTATTATTCAACCACCTTCATAGATACCTATTTAAATCACTTGTATTTTCTTTATTACTAAAAGCTTAAAATCATATTTGCATATTGTGAGAGGTAAATACTATATGGTAAATACTAAAACTTGCATTTGCTCAAAGAATAAGCACATTTATACAAGGTGTGTAAGGAGCCTGCAAAGGACTTGTGGTGTGGAAAGTGGTTTTTCAAGATTATTTGATTATATTGTTTAGTAACTGTTTTAGGTTGCACAGAGATTATACTTGACATGAATCCAGATGTAAAGTTTGTTGCATACCATGACAATATAATGAAGTAAGTAGACCTATTTATTTTTTGGGAAGACATTTTCTCAGAGCTCAAGAGAAAACAACCTTTCTTTTCCTTTCTGTTCATAGTTAAGGTGATTATCTGCTAAGCCCCAAATCAGACAATATCTGCAACAATTAATGCAATAATCTTTGAAAATGATAAGTTTTCTTCAGAATATAATATGAATATCCTCAATGCTGTGTGTAAAGTTTAAAAGAAATACAATACACTCTGACTTTAGGCACACCTGGGAAAACAAGGATTCAAAATCTGACTTAAATACCTTGATCTTGCATTCTCATTCAAGAATTCATTAAAAGATAAGTAAGTATCCCAGTATGTATTTAAAACCAATCAAAAAGCCAATATTGTTATATGTTCCTGCAGGTCCACTGATATGATGTATCATTCCAGAAATGTATAGGCACTTTTTCACTCTGACATTTTCAAGTCTGAAAGTTTAATTGCCTTATTTTTGTCTGTTTCCATTTTAGCCCTGAATACAATGCAGATTTTTTCAAACAGTTTACAATAGCTATGAATGCCCTAGATAATAAAGGTGATTTTTAACATGTTGTTTGCCTAATTTGCATTTGACAAAAATTCCTGTTTACCAGTCTGTCATAAAGCATCCTTATTTGTTTGATGCATGCAATCACTTAGGATCTTGCACAAATCCAATGACATGAGGGTTTGATCTCAAAGGGTTTTTAAAAGAGGTACTATTACGAACTGTTTCGATGACCTTGAAGGCTCTCCAAGAAATATTAAATACCCAATATAAATGTGCTTCATTTGTAAACTTTACCTACATCACAGAGGTCACATAGACGTTATTCCCAGTTGATCACAAAATTTTGTTTCAAACTTTTCTTAAAAATGCTTTAACTGCCAAGAAAATGTCCCAAGTGCTATTGTAGTTCAAGTACCTAAAGTATTCCTAAACATTCACCGTTGAATCAATTTTCAAATGCATTTTTTCTTTGAGATGTGGTTAAGCCAGCTTACTTATACATCCTGTGTTTGGATATTCCGGCTTCAATCTGTTTATGTCACTTGCTTGGGTCACAAAAGATGACTAGAAATGTGTTAATTGATGAAGCATTTATTTTCCACAATTCACTGTTTTGGGCGGGTGATCAAACGCTCTCGTGGTTGGGTTTACGCAAGTGCTGACGGAATCAGGAGTGATTGCTCACCTCAAATGAAAAACCGTGTAAAGTGATACCATGTAGGCAGAGCTGTACACGATTTGTGTATAGAACAGGATGGTTATAAGTTGCTATCCATGTTTTTGTGCTTAATTGGATCATCAGGCAACTTACTGTAATTAGCATTTGATATTTTATTTAGTTCTACCAAACAAAATCTGACTTCCTTGAAACCAATCTAAGCTAAGTATAGGAAATTCTCTAAATTTTTTACTGTGGTTATTTGGGCAGTTATTTGGATGGTCTTGTCACTTAAAGAGGGACACCTGTAAGAGGAACAGATTTTCCATTTCAATTGTCTGATCAAAGTTTCATTAAAAGGAAACTGCTAGTTCTCAATTCAGGGTCATTGTAAATGTCAATTTCTTTGTCATTATCACAACCATCCTCCTCTACATCCTCTTCATAAACTTAACTGGTTCACATCTGAGGGTAGCAGCCCTCATTCAAGGGAGGTGCTGGTAGGAGGATTCTGGTATAAGTATAATTTACCAAAGTACTTGCAAAAATTTTGAATTCTTCAAGAACCTATCGTCCATAAAAATGTTTCCTCAGTAATCTTCAGTTTTCTATTATTTGAATCTTTCAGCGGCCCGAAGTCATGTGAATAGAATGTGCCTTACTGCTGATGTTCCATTGATTGAAAGTGGCTCTGCAGGTTATCTTGGTCAAGTCACTGTAATCAAAAAGGTAACTAGTTTTCTCGTAGTCTTTAGAAACAAGAGATAATGGAAAGAATTTTCACATTTTTGTCCTTCAATTCATGTTTCGAGTAGAATTTCTGTTTTTCCTATTTGAAACTTGCGGAAAGAATGTTTATCAAGTGTCTTTATTAAAATGCAAAAAAGGGTTTTGATTGTGACTTGTATACTTTTGTTCTTTATTATCATTAAGTTCTCAAAATTCAAAAGTGAATTTAAAATTTTTTATGCAGGGATTTTCAGAATGTTACGAGTGCCAACCCAAGCCTGCTCAAAAGACGTATCCAGGGTGTACCATAAGAAATACTCCATCTGAGCCAGTACATTGTATTGTATGGGCAAAGCATCTCTTTAAGTAAGAGCCTTATTTAGATCTATTGTCAATTTTCCTTTTTGCACACTTTATACAGAGTTGAGTGGGCTGACATTTAGGCCTAGCAATCAACTTAAACTGGCCTATTGGCTGTTTCACATGGGTAGAGTCAACAAGTGGTTTTGGTACAACACAGCTGTATATAATATTTTTGGTTATTCCCAGAGCTATTTGTGATGTCAATTTGAATCGATGTAAAAAAATTTGTATTGCCTTTGCTTTGCTGCCATAAGTTAATTGCAGGTCAAGAAGTGCATGTAGTTTGTGAGTGATTTTAAAATACTTGTTATAATGAACTTTAATTGAAATCTGCTATTTTGGCAGGTCTTTTTTCTCCTTTTTTACGATGAAAAAATAAGAAAGGCAACATCTTAACATGATTTGAATCTCCTGTTGCAGCCAATTATTTGGAGAGGCAGATGCAGATGCTGAAGTTTCCCCAGACACAGAGGACCCAGAATTAAATGGTATTTGAGAACATAATTTCTTTATCTATAAGAAAACATCTAGATATTATTCCTAAAAAACTGGTTTCATAAATCTAAAAAATCAAAACTAGTTTTAAAGTTACTTTTCCTCAAGAGATCTCTCAATTATTCTTGCTTATTTATTTAATGCATTTCGTTAATGCAGTGCATTTTGTGTTATCAATTTACAGAGGACAATGGCAATAATGAGGAGAAGATACAAACAACAACAAATGAAGAGGAGAGTGAAATTAAAAGAAGATCTACTAGAAAATGGGCAGAGGAAGTTCAATATGATCCTGCAAAATTGTTTTCAAAAGTATGATTAATTTTAATATAATTTTTTAAGCTGCCTTATAATGAATAATACCCCTTTTTAGAATTTTAAGTGCTTATGGTGACTACCTTCAGTGAGGAGAATACTAGATGATTCTCTACATGCAGTGATAGGACATCATTGTTTATAAAGGGCTCCCCTGTGATTGCCATTTCCACTATCATTTTGTTCCTTGAATACCTACAGTGTAAGGAATTTGATTTGTGTTGGCCAATTCATGTTCAATTAGGTGAAAGTCTTTTTTAAATCTGGCCTTCTAAGAAATGTTGAAAGAAATGATAATTTTAAAATTTATTTGCAGTGATGAACTACTGATAATAGGCATTAGAAAGTTGTTAATTTTTATTTAATTGAGAAAGATGGTTTGATTGAATATTTTGGCATAGTTACCCAAACTACCATGGTAGTTGGAGGTGTATGGTGGCCAATATCATATTATTTAGAAAGCACAAATTAATTCCACTATTAAGAGGGTCACGTTTACTTAACCACTTGTTGTGGAAACAATAAATCTGTTTATAATTTTGTTTCTGTCATATAAAAAGCAACTGATTGCACCCTCTTGACTAAAAGGCATGTCTGTTTTGTGCAGTTTTTCTTCACTGACATAAATTATTTGCTGTCAATGGATAAATTATGGAAAAAGCGTAGACCACCAGTTCCGTTACCTTGGGATAAAGCTCTGAACACAGGTTTGTCATCCTTACTTGTAGCTCATAGGCTTCCTTATTCTGACAAAATGTTTTGCTTTTCATTACTAAAATCAATCAGTTAACCAACAGTTAAAATGTTGTATTCAACCATCCATTCTTCCCCTTTGAACAATGATACTTTGCTGTCAAGAGACCTATAATGTCAGGATACGTATTTCATTTGATTGGTATGCTATTTATGATAATATTGAAAATAGACACTACTTTATTTAATTATACGTACAATCCCCTAATTGCTTATATGGCTAACAATTGCTTTTTGATTCTCCAAAGCTATTTTACTTGCTAAACTTGTTTTGGGGAGGAAGGGGGAGTGGAAATTTGTATTTCTTAATATCTAAGTAAACAATACGGTGTGTTTTCTGCTTAAGTTGACTATCACCGCTATTCTCCTTAAGTTGTGTTCATTTGAGTGAAAATTGTGTATGTCAACTTCAGTTCGAGGATGTAAGGTTAAACTTCATTTAGACGTACAGTAACAAACAAAATTCTTAAATCTCACTTCTACAACCTGTTAGAAACTTTTTCTAGATAATACAACGAATGAAAAGGCTAGTGTAGACGACAATATCAAAAGAGTATGGAGCGTAAAGGAATGTGCTGAAGTTTTTGGCAAAAGGTATTTATCCCTCGCTTTTCTATTAATTTACCCTTCATATTTAATTATATGATTGTAATCGCCAAAGCTGTTTAGAGAGCACATTGTTTTAAATACATTCCTTCTAGATAGAAGAAGTCGAACCTGTAGCCAGAATCTTCGTCATGCTAAATTTTGTTTCATTTTAGTCTCGCTCTACTGAAGAAAAAGTTTGAGACAATTGGAGAGTTTCTCGTTTGGGACAAGGTCTGTGGTATTTCTTTGTTTATTTTATTGGTTTTAAAAAGCCATTGTTATGAATTACATAAAAGCTGATAATTGTTTGTGACTTATAATTTTGATTATGTTTCAGACTAAATCGTGTATGTTAGCAGGTGGTGTTTTGTAGATACGTGTTGGGAGACAATGGCCTGTGGCATGTAAATAGTTGCTCATCTGAAGTAAGATGCCTATCGCTTGCCTTGATAAAAGGTATTCTTTTGAGCCCGTCCATCCGAATGCTAAATCCTGTCTTCTGTGCTGTGATGTCTGATGCCCAAAAATCTCAGACCATCGCAGAGTGGGTTAGGATTTCATGTTTAGAGCAATTATATGTAATTGTTAGAAATCAGTTATCTTTTTGAGCTTTTATTTCCAGGAGACTTTGTCGAGCCGCCTGACGACCTTGTTCTCATTCTTTTATGTCCCTTTTGGGTGGCAGACTTTTTAATTGGAACAGGTTTCGGTTCCTTCTTGTTCTGCCTCGTTTCGTAAGTTCGTCTCCTCATATTCCGAAAGCCATTCGTTTTCTCTCGCAGTTCCTGCCATTCCGGGTTATCAGAATCCGAAAAGTCGCCGTCAGATGACGGATCGCTATCAGATGTCTCACTGCCATTGCTCGCTCTTTTTCGTTTTCGTTTCTTGTCTTTCTTGTTACTCCGACAATTTCGTTTCAAACCACTGCCGTTTTCAGTTGGCTGTTGCTCACTATTGCCATTACTCTTCCCTGATGGTGAATTGGCTGCAACGGTAGCTTGTCTTTTCAACATCCTTAGTCGCTTCGCCTCCTCCTTTTCCTTCCGTATTTCTTCTTCTTCAAGCCAATTTTCAAGGTTTTTACAAAAATTATCCACTTCCTGCATCAGGTCTTCATCATCCGAAGTGTCAATGCTGCTGTCCGATAATTGTTGTTCTAGCAATGTCGTCATCTCAACTTTGCAATAATTATGAAGTTTATCTCTGCAAGGTCGAAGATCAAATGCAGTTGATCGCATTGTGAAATGGAAGCGGCTCTCGGCATATAGCTGCTTTGCTTGCTCCTCTTTGCGAAACTCGTAGTCTATGAAACGCCCTCGAAGTCTTTCCTTGACTCTCTTTATACGTCCTTGGCATTGGTATGTTTCTCTGGCAGCTAGCTTGTGGTACATCTTCATATGCTTTGCTAACCAGTCACTCATCCCCTTACGTCGCTATTGTTAACAAAATTTCGTATTGATACATAACTAAACATAGAAGGGTATAGCGAATAAGCACAAATCAAACACGAAATCTCGTTTGGTTCCTTCTTTTGAATGATATTGGACTTCATGTACTACTGAGAAATTTGCGATCTCTGATTATTAAGAAACACCCTTACGACTTAATACTAGCGGGGTAACGACTTGATACAAATGGGTGCAATCGTGATTTAGCCCTTGAACAAACTGGGGTTTTAACTGGGCCCAGGATTTTTGTGTTTGCTGGAAAAGAACTTATAATCTTTAAGCTAAAAGTTGCAGCATCGTGTTTACGTATGAAAGTGGATTATTATCACCTGCAGGTTTTATGTGAAGGTTTTGGGTAGGATCATACGTTTGTTACATGGTGAATGACTTACCATTGTTGACATTCCATTGAAGAATACGTCCCATGCTTCCAAAAGGTCATTTAAAAACCTGCCAATCAATTCTAAATTGCCACAAATAGAATCTTCAGTGACCTAAGCGTAAAAAATGGAGCTTGTAACACAGAAAAAATTCTTGAAACATGGTTGTTTGTTTGAATAAGCCTTGTTTGAATAAGTTATCTGTTAGTAGAGGTTTAAATAAAACTTGATTTAATAAAACTCTCATTTAAAAGACACTTCAGTCAAAGGAAAATGCATTGCAACAGTCTAGTCATATACACGATGGACATTTGTTTGGAATTTAAGCATGTCATGCATGGTTATACGTACGTAAGCGTGTAGCTTTGTTAAATCGTCGAAAATAACTTGAATTTGTGATTTGATCTGCAAATAAAAATTTGTTTTAGAAGCTATCGAATTATGAAATACACAGCTAGTTGAATTCTTGTATATCAGAACAAAACACTATCCCCAAAGCAGCATGTTACCAAAATATGAGATAATTTTGTCTTAGCTCCGATGGGAGCATATTTTCTAATATTCAGTAATCACCCCATAGCCAACTAAGCAATTGAAATTAACATTCACATCGTTGGAGAAAAGAATGTAAAGTCTAGCAGATTGAGGTGCTTTTAAATGTACTTTAGCTTGTCAATTGGTCTGTTTGAAGCCACAATCTTTTTACATTTTTAAAAAGTATGAATCGGTTTTAGAAATTATGATATCGTCACTACTTTGTTATTGCTCAAATTAGGTTTTATACTCACATGATTAAAAATGAATATTTGATATTCATGATTTTGAAGATTTTCCATCGTGCATTGGGGCGTTCTCGAACGCCCATCTATGTTTGTAAGTCTTTTGATACTTGAGAAAAGAGAATCTAAAATGATAGAAAAATTTCATTCAGAAGGAAATACTGTTAAATACTGTAATTGAAAATGAAAATGACATCGGAATGTTTCGTACCGATTTTCAATCGAATAGCTTTGTATGTAACCATCTTGTCGTAGTTTTCCTGAAAATAAATAAAAAAAAGCTGAGTAAAATTTGCTATTTTATATAGTGCCAAAAGTAAATTAAAGATGCTGCGAGAAATTGTGAATTAGTTGTCAGTGCCATTAGCAAAAATGTAAAAGGCTCACCTTTAAGACGCGTCTCGATATTTGATATTCTAAAGCCTCAGCTGCAAGAACGTTCCATATTTTTATCTACGGTTCATCCGAATAATTCGTTCGATGTTCGTTCTAGTGATGGCATGCTTAGAACACCGTCTGTACGGTATATTCATGTTCCAACAAAGATTAGTTTTTTCCATCACAGCATCTGTTTCTGCCAGCAGGTCTTAGGCGTTTAAGTTTTTTTCAGTTTAGAAAATGTTTCAAAATTTGTTAAATTATGTTTGCGACGCTTTTACCCTAGGACGATGATGTGGCAATGGACTTCGTTGTTGCTGCTTCAAATATAAGGTCCTTTATATTTGGCATTTCAATGAAGAGTCGATTCGATATCAAATGTAGGTGCACCATCGATATTAATACTAGAAATGCTTTTGTCTAGCTTTTCATGGTATCCCTAAAACACTGCATATGATACATGTTGAAAGAATCTTCAATCTTCAATCGTTAACTCCTAAAGGCTATACAACCAATCTGGAGCATTTACTCAAGGAGCATTAGAAAAAAAATTAAGTCAGGAGTAGGATTAATACCGTTTCCATCCAGCGCTCCAGTTTGGTGATTTCTACAAAATGTTGCATTTGGTTTTGGTTCAACAAATCCAAAGAATAACCAGAAAATACATTCTCTTTGTCGCGAGAAAGAAAATTTCGTAGCATTCATATCATAGTTTTTCCTCAAGATGAGAGGGAGAATGGCTGTTTAAAAATTGCCTACATTTCTTTGCAGCTATGGCTGGCAATATTATACCCGCTATCGCAACTACAAATGCAGTTATATCCGGGCTCATTGTCATGGAAGCATTGAAAATTCTTTCGGGCTGTGTGCACAAATGCAAAACGGTTAGTATAGTGCCATCTCAGAGATATACGTAAGTTTATTTAGCTCCCACAGTATGCTCGTTGTATGGCCTGATCTAATCAACAATGGGTGTGCTAAATGCCCGGGGTATGTAATAAGAAATATGTGTAGATTTCTAACGACTCGTCGATACCGATGATGGATATTTACTGTGTTTAAAATAACCTCAAGATTAATCGCAAGCTTCAAATTACCTAGCTCGGTTTTAAAACTAGCACCTAACAATTAATCTACCGACTGCTTGACACAAAATAAAAATCTTACGGTGTATTATTTCAATTTCCAGATATTCTTGAACAAACATGCAAGGGTAAAAAAGCGACTTCTTGTCAGTTCAAACTTAGTCCCACCAAATCCTAAATGCTACGTCTGCGCTTCAAAACCAGAGGTAAGAATATTAGTATTTTTTCAACAATTTCATTTGCTTTTGGTCTTTTATCAGTTGCTTAACGCTCAAGCAAATGTTCTTGCAAAGCATATACTGTTATTTCACGAAAGTGGCTTCAACTTGTCCATTTTCTTGTTCATGCGAAGAATTAATCATTTTTCAGGTAACTGTGCATCTGAATACTAACAAAATGACAGTGAAAATGCTTGAGGAAAAGGTGAGTGCTTGCCAACGTCTATTCCTTGGCTAGTTTGCTGCTCATAGCAATGATGATTAAGTTTTAACTTGAAAGAAAGTACAGCCATCGCAGTATTTTTAATCTTGTTACTTTCAACACTACATTCTTTTGCAGATATTGAAAGAAAAATTCGCCATGGTTGCTCCCGATGTTGAAATTGAAGATGGAAAAGGTCTCTGTTTGTTTAATTGTATTCATAAGATGGTTAGCCTAATTTCATCTTCCGGTAACAGTTATTAGTCAGATAACAAGATAACAAATTTACTACAGCCTGACTCCACAAAACACTCATTGAAATTGTGAATTGTTAAATTTTGCTCAAGCTTTAGACAGAGGCTTTAGTCATTTCAGTCAAACCAGAAAATGCTCAACAAGCAATTTTCTCTTTCAGGCACGATTTTGATTTCTAGCGAAGAGGGAGAAACTGAAGGTAATTGCTTGATCGAATGTCATTCATAGTTTTGTAGTAAACTTATGGTAACTTATTTTTAATTGATTAATGCTAATAAAGTGTTACTTTGTCATTTATTTGAAATTACCTTCTATGCAAACAATATTTCATTTTGCTGGTCGAGTTTTCGATGTGCTTTAGTCGAAATTAATATCTATGTGCGTTCCATTTTACCACACCACACACCAGTGTCTCAGTTTTTCTTCTTCTTGATTTGACAAGCCCTAAAACTAAATAACTTCTTATTTGATTTATGCCAATACCTAATGACTGGGTTTCCCACATAATGTAAGCATCAGGGTAATCTTTGTTATATGTCTAACTGTTCTCCTTGTAGATAACAATAGCAAAATGCTGTCAGAATTCAAAATTGTAAACGGAACAAGGCTAAAAGTTGATGACTTCCTACAGAATTACGAACTGGTCATAACCATACGACAAAGGTATGCTTATTGATATCAAGCAACTCTAATCCGTTTCTTTCAAACGTTTAAGGATTTTGACGAATTGCAATTTTTCTAGATTCCTTTTAAATTCATTAAAATTTGTTTTTTACCCAGGGAGGAAAAAGATCCCGACGAACTGTTCGTTGTCGAAGGAGAGGAAAATTTGCCTACAAGTGCTAGCAGTGCCTCTTTGAAAGAAATTGATGTTAAACCTGATCGTGTGGGTAGGTACACGCGGTTTTGAGGCTGTACCCGGGGATCTGCGGGATTTTGATTACAATTTTGAGCTCGATAAACTAAATAATGTTGTTCTTCAAGTTGTAGTTCACAATAAACATTTGATATCTTTGAACATAGAATAGCTTCACAAATTGTCTGTCCTTGATGATGTCATTTAAGTAGCATGCTAAGTAAATTGAAATCTTAAAGTAGCATTTAAGTAAATATACTAGATTGCATACGGTACAATATGATGCTGTAATAACGATTAATGTAAGTAAATTGTACCAGGAAACATCTACTTAAATTGATCGTTATTATAGCATTTAAGTAGCATGCTAAGTAAATTGAAATAAGTAAAAAATAAAAATTTCATCAAATAGCTTCTATTGGTTACCAAAAAAACTTGCATGCTCTTTGGTACCCTGTATCAGATACATTTTATTATTGCAGACAAAATGGACACAGCTTCAGACCGAGCTAGCGACCGGAAGCGGAAGTTAGAAGATGATGAAGAACAGCAAAGCACATCCGAAAAAAAGGGGAAATTATGTGACCAAGATATCATTGTTCTGTAATGGGAAAGAGGATAGCGCTAATCACGTGATTCCTCCTCCTGTTTTGATACCAAGTATCAGCCAAACTAGAAAAACTAGAATGCTTAGGATGGCGACAAACACTTAGGTATTCACCTACTAAGAACAGTTTTGAAGGAGACGAACTGATAACATTTCTTCAACCCGCAAGTGTTATATTAAGTTGTTCTGTTCAAACCGAATGTACCATAAATAAATCACATATTAGGATTTAGTTTTGTATGGACTCAGATGATAAATATTTGGAAATTGGCAACACCCGTATTGGCTATAAATTTGTACAATCTATGCGCTGTACAATGCTTATGACTGTTATTTCCTTAAGTAAGTTCGGGTTAGGGGTAACCATGATACCCAGCTTTATACCGATATTATGATCGGTTATCCAGAATATTTCCTAGAATCGAGTAGCTAGTACGTTGTTAAAGATGAAATGGTTCACAAAATAATCGTTTTAGGATGGGACCGAGCCGATGCATCATATTTATCGCAGGTATGGAGAGATTTTCTATAAACGAAGGAGTACGGAGATAGCATTGTAAAAATTTAATTCTAATCGTTATTTAAAGAATAAGTATGAATGACCATATTCTGTTAGATTAAATACAATGGCTTTCGCTACGTTTTTGACAAAAAATTCATCTTATGAAAGCAATGTTAATAAAGGATTGGAATATTCGATGTCGTACTGCCGTACCACAGCAGTTTTATGTTAATTTACATTAAAGGATAGGAGAGTTTCATTTGATGTCAGATGCATTTGAGTTTGTCCAGGCCCAAGTCTACGAGTGGAGAAACAGTTGAGGGAACTTTTGGCAAGAAGGCAGTACTCTTCAGTACTGATTCTTTGGGATGTGGAGTGATAGCAGTATATTAAGGTTCCAACTGCAAACACTTCGTAAACAAACGACCAAGTGAAAAATTAAGAAACTTTTGATTTGATTTTTGCTAATATGTTTTGAGAGCTATGCTGGCTTAAAGTTTGCTACTAATTATTTATAAAGCACGTGCTTTGTTTCTGGTAACACTTGATCCAAGCTACATTGCTCAATCACTGTATTTGAAGCTGAGAATCTTAGTAAGTGTTAGACAACTTTTTTAATTAATTAAGCTTGAAAATTCCTATTGAGTTTGAAATTATACTGGGTTTGCAGATTATCTTCGCCTCCGCGTTGGCTTTAATTCATAACCCGCCTAATCGTAGGGTGTTTTATTTCGAATGTTTGGTTAAAATGTTACAGGGTGTTTTTGTCGTAATACTCTGACCCAAATACAAATGTTGGTCCTAAACTATCGTGTTATGATATACAGCAGCTTCCGGCTTTTCCTGACTTATGCTTTGGCTTTTGCTCGTTAGAGTGTTGCTGTATCAGTACACAACATCTTATGCCCGTGGTCGGCCTTGGCAGATTATTTGCTCGTACCCATTCGTTCGTCACCATATCGTAGAACTCTACCGAAGACAGACTCACTCCATCCCAGCCCCCAACGACGAATATTTTCCTGTTCATAAACGTTGCCCCGGCATTCGAACGTGCCACATTCATCGGCTCTATGCTTGACCAAGAATTGGACGACGAGTTGAAAATCTCGCATGTCCGCAACGTGTCGTTTCCGTCATAGCCACCCATGACGTAGATGCTTTCTTCTATGGTCACTGAACACGGGAAAGACCGCCGCTCGCCCATTGTGGCGACATCAGTTAGGCTCCAGGCGTCTCTAGAAAGATTTTAATGACTCCAGTTCAAATAATGAAAAAATTTTATTGAACAGAAACAAATGTAATATTAATTTCTGTGGTGTTCCCAAAGCCGTAACGTAATTCAAGGACCGCGCAGATGGGGATGGAAACTTTTATGGAAAAATATTGAAAGTTGATAACCAAGCTTTCCTACTCTGCTGTTATAGATGAAATGATGCCCATGGGCTTTATGTGATTCATTATGGCTGACAACAACATTGGATGCTATTTATTTATAATAATTTTACCTTTCAATGTCATATTTTTCGATAGTGTTTAGGATCTGGGCGCCATCGTGGCCTCCAATCACGTAGATCATGCAGCCACTGACGGTTACGGCACAGGTGCACCTTCGACGGGTCATCATGGGTGCCACAAATCTCCATCTGCAAAGAATGATAAGGTGGTTAGTTGGTTTCAGTGAACATTTATTTGTCGAATCAAATTTGTTTGTTGATGAATCTGATACAGTGAAGCGTATTGACATTTGTGCCTTTCAGAATAAATACATTATGTTTTGTATTTCAAAATTAGGTTCACAAATAAAGGTTCTAAATCAAAGGAATATGTCCAAGATGTTCTTAATTTTTTAGGATCCACTAAGGTTCTTATTGCTTAGGTTCGGTGACCGAAAACGCAACATTTTGAAAACGCCCTCAGGGTGTAAATGTTTGAGAACGCTGTTTTCATGTTTTCATGTAAACAGCGCAAATGAAAAGTTGGCGCCAAGCAATTTGCGCATGCTCATAGCCGAATATCAAGCGTTTTTATTTGGTTTTGCGTTTCCATGCAGGGATGGCGCCACCGGGGGTGCTTGGGGGGGGGGACGGGAGCCCCCCAAAAATTCACTGAGCCCCTCCGTGGGGACTTCAATTTTTGAAAAATTTTAAGCAATGTCGGCACTTTCATAAATTCCACTTCGTGATTTTTTTTATTTTTTTTCATTGTTTGACTTTTCTTCAGTTTTTTTTTAATTTTTTGAACTGGAATCACCACAGCGGAAATGGTGTTATTTTAGATCTTTGTTGGTGGTTCACTCACTGTCGGCAGTCTGACATTACATCCCTCCCCAGCATTTCTTTTCTGGCGTCATCCCTGTTTCCATGTGAACAAATCTTTGAAAACGCTCATGGTGTGGACGCATATTTATTTGATAAAAATTTCCGGCATCGTATGGGCGGGGCCTTAATGATATTCTTGAAACTTTGCATTGATATTAGACAGTATACAGTAACAACAGAAGGGAGCTTAAGGCAAATAGGGATTCAGCTTAGATATCCAACCCCTTTAAGCAATTATTGTAAAACACCCTTCTTTGTTAAACTCTGATAGTATTAGTAGATCGAATATGATTTTAAACAAGACGAGCAGGTGAACGGATTACGATTGAAAATTGAATAAACGCGCAGTTTTCAAAAGAATGGGCTCTTTCGTTTCAAATTATGTTAAAATCTCTCTACTCTACTAACGAAGAATGTGGAATGGCGTTTCCTTTACCTATTGGTTGCCGGGTTGTAACATTCGACAGAGTTAATCGTCGTGGTCCCATCAAAGCCGCCCATGACGTAAAGCATCCCACCACATTCCACCATACTCATTTTACTTCTTTTGGTATGCATTGATGCTATCGGGTGCCATGAGCTTGTCTCGACGTCATACTTCTTTCCTGCAAATAGAAAGCTTATGATTATCCTCTGGGTGCATTTTTCTGCCTATAAGGCTCTTATTGAACAGTGTAGTCCATGAGTTAAGCATTGATTCCCCATTGCACAAAGTCAGGTTTGTTGATCATGGAAGTCAATGAGTTTAATATAAGTTATCTAATTCATACACTATGTAAATAAACGAGCCAGTTAGCGATCGTTTGGTCGTGAAAAAACAGTGCAATGCTATAAAACTGACCATCTTACTTGCATGCTGGAATAGTATTTTGTGTTTCTACATTGCCCAATTTAGCCAATTGGGACAAGGAAAGCTGTACTTCGGGAACATTAAAAACACAAAATTCCACCACTCTTCGGGAACATTAAAATATATCAACGGATTAAGTGTGCATTGCTACACCGCTGGGTCCATAGTTATATTATATGCTTGTTAGAAATTAAACAACCCACCTGTGTCTAGGGTATCTGAAGTAGGATTATTGAATCCGCCAACAACGTACATTTCACCTTCGATCGAGGACACTCCGTGGTAACCTCTCTCGGGTGACAGCCTCGGTAGCTCGACCCAGTTTCCTTTAATCAGGTTGTAAGAGTATACTAGAAAAAACATGTTCTGCATTAGCCAGTAACAAAAATTGCCATATAAAAGCAAAAACATGCTGAAAAACTAGGTAATTTTGGTTCTTAGTGATTCATATTCTTATAAATTTCAGACGTACTTTCAGAGTTAAAAAAATAATATGGATTTCTTACTGGTAGAATTGTTGGAAGCTTCTCCATTACCACCACAAGCAACAAGAAGTTCATTGGTACTCTCATACTTTCTTGGCCGCGTTCTGGCTGTTTGAAACCAACCTCTTCGGCTTGGGAGAAGATGGAAATGATGCGCTTCCGTCAATAGTTCTCTGCAGTTTGGAAACTCTTGAAACAACGACTCTGATTCTACCTGATCGATGAGGTAATCTGGCGACATCATGGGAAACCGGATGTGTTCGATCAGGTCTTTGAAGCACCTTTTTCTGTTTCTTGGGTCATATTTTACCCATCTTATAAGAGCCTCGTATACTTTCTCTTCATTAAGGACGCTCAAATCATCTGCAGATAGTAATGATGCAAGTTGGTATTCCGAAAGATGAAGAAATTCGTCATTGTAGGTGACATATCCAAAATTATCCTGTACAAACTTTGTTATTGTTTCATGAAGTTCAGTACATGCATATGCTTCAGCAAATCTTTGCATTCCTAGACAATTGCTGACATTTAAAGAGTTTACAAGATACTTGCAACAAGCATCTTTTAGCGATTTTATCAGCATTAGATTCGCTGCCTGCAACACAAGCTCCACATTATCGGGTTGAAGAAGAATTTCACCAGTATAAATGTACCTTAATACATGTTTCATTATTTCTGGATCCACTCCATTTAGTTTTACCACCCGCTCTCTACTTTCCTTCATATTTCCATTGAACATAGCACAGAAATAATCTGAGCAAGATGCCAGGATATTCTTGTGAGAAGTGAAATCCTGGTTCTCCACTCTCAAGATAACATCGCAGAATCCACTCTGCCCATTTCGTCTCATTTCATCTAGCCGATGAAGAAGTTCCTTTGGGTAAGCTTCATCAGAATAGCTGCAATGCCCTTGAGACTTGCTAATTGCAAACATCATGAGAGTAAACATCTAGGCCACTGTTTTATTGCCACACCATGGATGTGTATTGGCATTTTGTTCTATTGCCATGTTACGTTCGCAGAAGCATTACTCGAACCCTGTGTTCTTCGTAACTCCGTAACGAATCCGAAATCGAATCGCAACACGCTAAAAGTTCGAATCGTAGCATTTGCTTGGCCAGTTTCCATTCTGATCCGAAAATGTACTACAGTTTTATTTTTTAAATATCATTATGTAAAATTTACTCATAAACTTCAGTTAAAGAATCAAACGGCATCGCTGCAAAATACAGTTTACACGTTTTTTGCAACATTATGTCAATCTTTTTAAAAACAATAAGCTTCGAGATTCGAGGTATAAAACAAATACACTCCCCACACGAAAGCAGCCGGACAGTTTGAAGATCGATTGCGCTTCCAGACAAAAACGAATTTAGGTTGGCGATAACGACTCTTTAATTTAGTGATAATAATTTTTTGAGAAACCCTTCCAAAATTTACCAAGGCATCAAAATGTTGCAAAATTTCTGTGCTTTTTACTTTTTTACCGTTATTATTTTTTGTTAAAATGAGAAACCTTTGTGCTACAAACTTTTAGGCAAATCAACTGATTTCAAATAAGCGAAGAACAGCAAAGTCAGGTGACTTGGCCTCAGTTAAAATGGGCCAATAAAACATGGTAATTTTTTACAAATTGGTTCTTTAGACACAAATATTTTTGAATAAGCCACCGATCGATTATAAAAAATAAAATGACATACACTACCAGGACAAAAGTATTGCACCACCTGCGAAGGCGATTAATGGCGGATCACGCAATAACTTTTGTTGTTGTCTGATTAAGCGATTGTTTAATCAGCCAATGGCACGCAAATAAAATTGCAAATTCACTGAAGCGTTAATTCGAATATTCCATTTTCATTTTTCAAAATTTTAAATCAACAATTCAAGTAACTTTAAATTAAACAAACATTTTTTGGAGGTGCTTCTGACTCTGATAAATGCGGAAAATTGCTTTGGAATTGATGCACAAAATTTGTTGATGAAAGGCACTGGGATTCTGTTTCATTCTCAATAAAGTCAGTTTTTGTTTGGACCTTAGAGAACCTTGTGGATTTCAAATCAGATTATTTTTATTGGCAACAAGAAATATTCGCTTATTTTAAGGTTAGGTTTTTGTGATGGCCGAGGAAGGACATAGAGTTTGCAGTTTCTCAGGTAAATTCGAATAAAAATGGCCTTGTAAGGGGGATGTATTGCTTTTATGAAAAGGACTGCCTTCCTCATTTTCCTAGCATTAATTTGATTCCACCAAAGAAACTGTTATGCATTATTTTGACATGTTTCACTGCATTAACTCGCACGTCGCTAGTTTATGATTTACCAATTTATATAGGCCTAAATGTACCCAAAAATTTTTACAAGTTGTATTAGAGAATTTCGCGACAAAAAGAGTCAGAGCTAATAAATTCATTTGTTGTTTCCTAAACTTTCACTATTTTGCTATCATTTTCTATAAAAAGTTGCAAAATCTTTAGAGTCGAGAGACCAGTTACACGAAGTTTTATCACAACTACTCGCTCCTTATCTTGTCAAAATCTTGAATTTACCACTGCATATATTTTTGCTTATAACTGTATAATTTCTTACGTTAATGTTGCAACTCTAAGTTTTTCGAAATTCTCAATAAATTTCAAAGAATTTGATTCCTGGTTTATCATGATTGTGCTTATTTTTGAGGGGAATATTTCAGCGTAAAGATATAAGTATACAAAACTTCAAATTTTTTGGATGCCATTTTGATTAGGGTGTTGCAATACTTTTGTCCTGGTAGTGTAGAGTAACATTTTACCAGATCATTAACGTTCTTGCAAAGCAGACATATCATTCAGTATAGGGCCATATAGCCACACATTTTCTTTACCGCTGCAAGTCTTGCTGATTTCGATCGGTTTCTTTAGCCTTCTTTCTGTGGAAAAATTTTAGAGGTCCTGCGCATGGGCAGGAAAGAAATGTTCATTCCGATGGCATGATATGATAAAAATTTCATCCCGCGTACGGAGATCTCCCTTGATTAAGCTGAGATACCGGTAGGCAGGCCAGCTTGCTTTCGCATATGAAGAGAAAACAAACTTCTGCGTGAATAAGAAATAAGGCGAGATCTGGGCTTAAACATTTCATCCCCGAAAATGGGATCAAATTTTTCTTAATGAAGAGCCCTTTAGTGCTTCTCGTCTTTCTTTATTTGATGATCCCATAGTGTAACTGTGATTGATGGGATGTGTTTGCAGAAAACAGTTGCCAATGGATACTTGACAGCCTTTCATGACATACATGTATTACAATGATATATATGAAAGCTAAAAACTTATGCATTAGAATCATCATACTTTGCTTTTTATTCATTTTTAGGTTTTGATTAACCTTTAAAAGTATCTGGATTAAAAATCCAATGATTGTTTTTCAAATACATCAGACATAACTACGAAATCATAAAGAAACTCTAGGAGTCATTCACTCTATTCCCCGAACTGATGGGGTTCTAAAGAGTAAGGATAGGATTTACGATTCGATTTGAATAAGAAATATTTAAATTTTTCGTGATACTTGTAACCAACTCTCAAAGGAACTAAACATACTTCTTTCGAGCCTTCTGTTTGATCTAGCTCAAAATCTTTGGCCATCACGAGCCCAGTCTCAGGTACCTATTATTGCCACACAAAGCTGGTAGTTGAAGGTCGGTTGTATTTGTTTCTTGCATGTCTAGAAGAACGTAAGCAATGCTGTAAATACAGTAGAGTTATGATCATAGAACTGTGAGAATGGTAAAAAGTAAAGGGGGAGAAAATGAAAAGAATAAAAGATGAAGATGGCGAAGAGAAAATGTCGGAGCACCGATTTGGTAAGGCACGATTTGGATTTATGAAGCACTTGATTTATTGTAAAAAAGTACCGTTGAAAATATCTATGCAATTTCTCCCAACTTGTAAAGCTACTACTAGTTGACTACGTTGGATCAGTTGAGCTTTTCAGCTAGAAAAGTATAAACATTTTCCCAGTTTTATCATATAGATGTTGTTGGCGATACATTTTTCGAAAATGTTTTAAAACAACAGAAAAAGACAACGGTATCTTAAATCATTGTTGACGATCAACCTCTTCTTGACGAGTTTATAGATTTTTAAAACTTGAGATTTCCCTTTTAGTGTCAAATCGAAATTGAGTTGAAGAAAAAATAAATTCTCAAAATCGTGCTGGTAAAATTTTACTTATGAAATTCATGCACTGTTTAGGCTCTATTCAGTGGCGTACCTGAGGCAGCCGGGTCCCCAGTGAAACAATAGAGACAAAGCATCAAATGCTAATGAACAGACATAGCATTTATTTAGATTGATATATCCTATAGGCTTGGGGCCTCTTAAACTCGTTTATCATATCCAGATCCCAGTATACCAGCTTCACAGTAAAACAACAAAGAAATATTTTTTAGTGGGGCGCCAAATTGTTAGGAGTCTTAGTTTTTCGGACTGAAAGTAACTTTAGTCCGTTACGCTATTTAAAGAATACTTCTTTGGGAATTACTGAATTATTTGCATATCAAGACACGATCCAAGAAATCCAGGAGAGGGCACTTGAACGGGGGGGGGGCAAGACTAACTAAAGTGGAAGGCCAAGGCTTCTTTCATATTTTATTGCAGCTTTGAAATTGTTTGCTTCGCAAAAAAGTGGGAGGGGGGCATGCATGGCTTGGGCCGTGCAAGACATTTTATTCTGGCTGTTACGGTGTGTTAGCAGTCAAACTGATGATTTATACTCGGGATTTACCAAACACCCTTTTTATATCAAGTGGCCTGCTGATTGCATTAAGCGTAAGACTTGAAATTAAAACCACCTTCTTATTCGAAGCATAGCGGTTACAGCTCTGCTTTTAACCGGTAAATAATCAGAATCATTCCTTCGACTACATTCGACCATTGAAAGTTAGAAAATTTGTTGCAAGAAATTAGAAGAGCCCTGGTTTTAGGCACTATAAAATCTTAGTCATATCTTCATACCTGCAATCCTGAACGCGCTGTAGTTATACCGAAAGTCAAAGTGCGATCCAGTTTGCACAGTTTCTTGATACTGCTTGGACCAATTCTTGAGCCTAACCGAGGACTCTGGCATCGACTCGTACAGATGGGTTTGAAAATGTAAACGTGGTGATCACATTCCACGAAGAACTTCACCTAAGGGAGGGACTGGAAATCTCACAGGAATGCATTGTGACGTGTGTGTGATGCGGGTTTTTTAAAGCAAAATGTAGAGTCACACATTTTGCTGGGGAGAACTGGTTGAAGGAATAACTTTCAGTTCTTATAAGTATATACAAAATGCCCCTGATACGCAGGTGAAGGCAGAAACGGAAATTAGGCACGTTTCATTGCCATGTCTATGCAAGGACCGCCGATCATATTACAGATTTAGGGAGCTAAAACGCTTTTGGAGGCTAAACATGTTAAAACCAAGATCAACTGTTTCAAATACATTTTTAAATATGTTGGGGGAGGGCTAAAGCCCCCTCAGTCCCCTTCCCGCTTCCACGATCACTGTGCCTATGGGAAATGAAACTTATATCTAACCCTCTATGTGCTCAAATTGCTCAATTTGATTTCAACTCAACTTGAAAGCAAAATTATAAAGTTTATTTTTATAGAAAACCAAATTTTTGAAAGACAAATGGTGATTTCATGGCTTTATCGAATCTCAATAAACCAAACTCAATAGTGTAGAATGTCAAGAAGCAAAATTGCGTTTATGGAATGACCTTTAATAGCGTTTTAATAGATAATGTTTACAGGGGCGTAGCTATTGGGGGAGGGGGTGTAGGGGGTGTTACACCCCAATACTTCATGAATTCTTCGGCAAATCTTCAGTTTGTCTCCAAAACCCTTAGTTTTTCGGTAAAATCGTTTATCAATAGGTGAAAGAGCTTCTACATTCTTCTCAATCTATATCTTCGTCGGGTAAATATTTCTATTGATGACCCTCCACCCCCTAGTCTGGAAGGTCAAGCGACGCCCCCGAATGTTTACTAAACTCTAACACTCTCTTTTTCTCTTCGAGTCTTCCTCATTAGGCAGACGAATTTGGTGATGTAAAGGTAGAAATATGTCTTTTCTTAAACGTATGCATAAGTGGTAATTGCCCAACAACTCGAGAATGTAGTTGACTTTCTGTGTCGTTTGAATATATAACGGTAAAATTCAAAATCAAAACTTGGCATGATTTAATTTTGGCTCTAGCTTCTTACACTAATACGCTATAAATTTCGAGCTTTGTGAATGCGTGACTCCAAAACGAAAAACGTCAGTGAAGTTTCCTAAACACTTGATCTCCTCACCATCGAATGTCCTTCGATACATACAAATTTCCCAAAGTTTGTTTAATTTGAGCGCCATATTTGTTAACTTTTGTTCGTTTCATTATTGAAACTTTTGTTTATTTTTTGACATGCTTGCTTTTGTATGTCTTTTTGCAACAATTTTTTTGACTCACTACACAGATTTTTGGATTACAAGTGCACTTAAAGTTTTAGAACTGCACATTTTATGTAGAACTGCACGTAAAAAAACCTTGGTGTTAAGCATCGAAATGTTCGATAATAATATATATAAATAATAATAAATAATTTGTTTAAAGTTGGCGTACTAAATGAACGGCTGATAGCTATAAAGAAGCTAATTAAGGCCAACTAATTTGCTTTGCAAAATATTCAGGGATGACAAGGTAAGTTGCTTTGCAGTCTCTCGCGGATCTTTATTGAATGCAGAAATAAGGGAAACCAATCCACGCTCGGTCTCGCCTTAAAGCAAGAATCGCCCAAAAAGAATAATCACTAGGCATAAAAAACTCATCCAAAACTTTCTCGCTAAAGCTCTTCTTATTAGTAATAGGTACTCTTTAAAACATGGTCAAAGAACATAAGATCTGTTCTTCATGATCAGTAATATTATTGAATACGTTAACAAAAATACTGCCATAGAGCTTGAAAATTCAAATTGATTTTCTCAAATTCAAATTCTACCGAATACAACAATGGAGATGAACAATGGAGATGAACAATGTGCATCTACGACGAACAAAGAAAACAGTTGAGCTGGTGCATTGATTTTCATTTTACGCAGCAAAAACAATCATAAATGATTTTATACCTATATTCTTCCCTAAAAAAGTTCTTATTCTACAGTGTTTACTACAATACTATACTTCCAGTGCCCATTCCCGAAATAGGGACTAATCTATTTTCCACATGCCCCTACTTTAATCTAAATATCAAACCGATCTAATATCAAATAAATATTCTAAATTAATAATACACATATGAAACGTGAGATCCACCAGACAATTTCCAGTTTATCGAATGACAAATTTGTTTTCGTCTTTGATTGCTTAAAAACGTGGATAGATAATTGCCAGAATCTTTTTTAGAAATGTCTCCTTGTTTAAGCAGTAATATTATAAAAAATAAACATGGCAGAGGGTATTAACAAAGTACTTAGTAAAATACCACTTAATGCTTTCACAACAGCCCTTATCGAGAATAGGCTACTTTGTAAGCTAATCAAAAAGCATTCTAGACCAATAGCATACACCTAAATATAAGAAATGCTAACAGAAATGAAAATTATCACAGCCAATAAACTGCAATGTAGAGCAAAAGTGCAAAACTCTAAGGCAATTACTTAATTAAATGCTTAGACACAGCTGTCAATCTGTTTTTGTCCACTTTAAGTCATCAACTCTTGGCTTGAATCCAGTAGTTTTTTCAATAAGCCATTCTACAATAATCCAGAATCGAAGACATTCTAATGGGTAGTTTAACCAGCCAGTTGTGATGCAAAAGTATGTTTCATGTGGTGCCACATGATGGACCCTGTGGTGCTTCTTTGGAAGAATGATGTGCAAATCCTGTAGGATGGATACCCAAGATGGAAGACCAAAATAGGTATGTGACCATTTGTGGATCTGATTTGTAAGTGTGACGAAAATTGCCAAAGCGTACACGAAGACATCCCAATGAAAAGATGATTGGAGGGTTTCTGTAGCGTAAGTTGCATACCTGTATGTTTGAACGAGTATTGGAAATATAACCAGAAGGCAGTTATCTCCATTGGTTTCAATCACATCATGTCTTGTGATAGCTGTTGGATCAACATGGTGTTCTCTAAATGGCCTGATAAAAGCCTGATTAAAAGAAAGGATAAATGGACTTCAAAGCAAGGAAAATGCTTTAAATGAACACAGTAGCATTTGAAAGTTTAAATGTTAAAATATGCCGAGGCATTAACAAATGGTTGACAAGGAGAAGAAATGATGGGATTATGGGGGCTGCAACTTTGGAAAATTTAGAGCCAAAGACATGGTGCAATAAACAGAATAACAAAACAGTTTATTACGTCACCCTTTTATTTCACTTCCAGTGGGCTTTGAACTATTCAAATGATGGAGAAAGAAACAGAGGACAAACCTATGTAGATAGAAAGCATTTCTGCAGGGCTTCTAGTGGAGGGTGCGCGATAGCGCATGCACGCACCCGATGTTTCATTTGGGAGCGATTACTCGCGCGTCCAATGATAAATATTATCTTGGAGAGAACGATTGCCAGATGCTGATAGGCCGATCCACTTGAGAAACTTTTTTTGAAAACGGAAGTTTCACATCGAATCCTTGTTTCTATTTATCCGTTTTCGCATGTCTCAGTTTCCTATCATTCCGTTTCCGTATTTTCTTGAACTGTCCCGAAAACGAAAACGAAGGTTTCCCCATTCCTCTGTTTTTGGTCCATTTTCATATCCCTTGTTCGAACTTGTCTTGAAACTGAAGATGAACAAATTCGTTTTTAAATGACGCCGTTTTCGATCATCTTATTAAAACCATTCCTTTTGAAATTACTCCGTTTCCTATGTATTCGCTGACTTCGTATTCGCTGACTTCGTATTCGCTGTTCTCACATAAATGAATCGTTTTCAAATGACTCTTTTTTAGATTGATAACTTTCAACATCACTATGATGCCTCCGTTTTCGAGCGAATCAATGGGAACGCAGAATCAAAAACCAATCACTTCAGCACCAATATCGTACGAAAATGGAGTAATAGGAACAAGGCATGACTTCTAATGGGCGAACACATTATCAATTGCCCTTTGCTATTTATTGGTCTAACGGGAGCTGCTAGCTAAAGCTAATTCTATCTGCTTTCTCTTTAACTTTGCTGAACAGAATTGAAACTTGGTCATGTTTCTAAAGTTACGTAAACCTCTCTAAGTCGCACAGTTCACTTAACGATAATTTACGCGTTGGCGGAAATCGCTCTCTTTGGAAGGAATAAATATAAAAAAGCATCCAAACTTTCTTAAGAGTCAGATAGTGATGATAAAATCAAGAAACTTGAACCAGGAACAATCTAGAATGATAGTATGTAACATCTTCAACCACTTATCTTGCCACAGATGCAACATGCTTGAAATAGAAACACAAGATGACAATAGGGCTTACTTTTCCAATTATTGGTATATCAATAGAGCCATAACTGTCTGCACCCCAGTGAACGAGTCCAGATGCAAAGTCGGCAGTTAAGATTCCAAAAACTATAAAAAAGAATAATTGTATACCTAAAATCTATATACGAATGGGCTTATTACATTCAATGAAATGGAACGAAATGAAATGAAACAAAACAAATCAAAATGAAACAAACAAAACAAGCTCATGAGTCTTTGAAAGTGAATAAAGTCAAACAAAACTTAAGGCTGCCTCAACATGTGGCAATAACAAGGGACATATCAACATCATTAAGCAACTCATTTCATATCAATACTTTGATCACGTTGTATCTAACCCAAATAACCTTAGGGTGAGCTGTATCTTCGAAAAGTGATATTTAATGAAACTGATAAAATTGATTGACTAACTAAAAAAACGTCTTCCATGATCAAAATGAAACCATGAACTTCTTAGTGGGGGCAAAAATTTTCACTTATCTGAGGGTATAGCAGCGAAAACTGGCCCCTCTGGAATTCAAGAAGTACTTGTCACAGAACAGATAAGAACCCGTTTAAAGCTTTGAGAGTATTGCAAAATTCAAACCATATTCTCCACATAACTACCAAAGCAATGGCTTAGATGAAAGATTCATAAGGATAGTTATACCCATGCTAAAGAAAGCCAAACAAGAGAAGAAAGACATATATTGCCTAGCTGGAATAAAGAAACACTCCAGCGCTAGGGCAATATTGTTCAAATGAGATTCAAATCAACAGACTTACAAGAACCAAAATGCCATTGTATTGTTTATAACCTAGCTTCGGAAGGTAGATTCAGAATACTGAAAAGCTATGCTTATCGAGGATTGTCTTGGTCCTTCCTATCCAAGTGACAAAACCTATCCAAGTGACAAAACCTTGTGATTCCCATATCTAGAATTACAGAGAGCTGGCTATTCTCCTCACAATAAGAGAAAGCTTTATCATGTCAAGGGCTCAAACCACAGACCCTTGGATCTGTAGTCAGCGACCCTAACCACTGAGCCATACTTGCACTTACCAGGATGTGTTAAAGCCTAAAGTTGTTGCAAATACAGGGGCACTGTTCAAAGAAAGAAAGAGAAATACGAAGAGAGACATTATAACAAAGAGTCTAGGACACTTTCAGAATTTGGTGAGGGGGGCCAGGGGGCCACCTCCCCAATACTTTAGAGGACAATGGTATTTTGTTCTAAAACAACAGGAAATGTGATGTGACCTTATCAAAACAATAGGCTTGCCCCCCCCCCAATATTTGACCAAGTGTCCGGCCCTGTGGGTGACATGTAAAGACGCCACCATGGTTAAAGGATTTTAAAAAGTAATTCACAAAAATCAGAAACAGTTTTGTAGTTTGTCTATTTAGAAAAAGAGGGGTGTAGTATTGTGGTTATTATTGAGTAGCTTACAATATTTCTTGATGTATAAGTCCAGTTTCTAGGTTGGTAAAATACATGTGAAAAGTCCACCTCAGCTTTTACTTTGTTGATATAACATTGAGAAAACTTGCTTTGTATTGGTAAGTGTGCCTCACAGGAAATTTATGCAGAAAAGGATTTCCCTTTAATCAAATATATTTCCGCTAAATAAAAAGGGTAACTGTTTAAACAAAATACTTGTGTTTGAACAACTTTTATTAGAAAAGTGTAAACTGCGGTTTTTTAGAATTCTTTCTTTCGCAAGTCTCATGATTTTTGTAGATCTTTAACTTGGAACAGCAAAAATTACATTCATATCTACAAATCTACAATTCTACAAATCTACAATTCTACAAATCTACAATTCATATCATCCATTTATTTATCTACAAATTTTCTCAATAAAATACTGTGTATTCACAATTAATGAGACTTTACAAAAAGTTTTATGGGTCAACTTAGATGCCACTTAGAGTATATAGTTAAAAATAATGAATTTTCAACCAAAAATTAAGGATCCACTTATAGGCAGGGTCATTTTATACACTGAGGAATATGGTAGTTGTGATGTGTACAGTGGTAGATTGATAAAATAATTTTTGTATGGCATGACCTAATTCATTCATTGTTTGTTTTGTTTATTTTGTATTTGATGCCACAAACACTATATACACAAAAATAAATCAAAATATCTTGCATTTTGATCTTTTAATTTCAAAGATTCTTAATTTCTTGACAACTATGTAAAATTATTAAATTGATTAATATGTCTTAGGAACACAACAAACTATTCTCTAATAGCCATAGTTTAAACTTTTTATTATCTTAAAATATAAAAATACTTATAATAGACACAAATCATCCCATAAATGTATTTAAATATTACATATATGCTTTTAACTTTAAAGACTTACGTAAAGCCAGCAAAATTGACACCATACTTCCATTATAAGGCAACGAAACTAGCTGTGCAGTGTAAAGTATCATCAAAATTGAAGCAGCAATCACACTACATGTCTCCAGTGCTCTTTTTCCTAAAACAATGATCTTCAAAATATATATACAAGATATTTTGAAAAATTCTATGTATATTTAAAAACTATTTATCTAAAAAATTTGATTAAAATAAGGTTGATTCCACGAAATCTCAGCCTTCCAATGAGGTTCATAACTGTTTTTAAGTAAGTTTTACTGTCTTTGATGACAAAAAAATGTGAGGATAGGGGCAGCGTCAAGAAATTCAAAGTTAGACGGGGCCATGCCAATGACTTTATTGGCACTTGTCGTTGCTAGTGAGACATTGGTAGGGCTACCAAAAGGATCTTGGAGGTCTGGGCAAAGAGGAGAAATGAGGCACTCCAGTGGCGGATCCAGACTACCGCCATTACCGCTCGAGCGGTAGTCAGATTATTCAAAAAATTATAGAAACAAGGATCATTTTCATGTTTATCCTACTACTTCAATTAAACCATATTTAATTATTGAAAATATTTGATCGCGCTGCAAACCAAGCCTTTCTTCCTAGAAACATGCCTGAAATTTCCACAGAGACAGAAATATTTTTTAATCCTTATCGCTATGGAAATTGCGTGCCAATTGCCGAGCCACATGTTTGCAAATAGAAGGCTAGCATGGGGGGATGATGAAATCATGGCTTGCTAGCTAGGGGGGTTGAGTCGGTGTAGAGCGGATTCGAGCTGCAGTGAGCGGTAGTCAGCCTGCCTAAACCAATCAAATCGTCATAAATCACTGCCAACCTGGGGGGATGCATACAAATTTTGTTGACAACCAATGAACAACCGAGTTGACTACCGCTCAGATGGGGGGTTGAGTAGTACTGCCGCTCAACAAGGCTCAAACGTTACAGAAAGATGGGGGGATGCCTAAATATTCTGCAAACTGTAACTTCAAAGCCGATGTGACCCATTATTTTGTACAATACACAACTATTCGTAGGAATATATTTTAAAAGAATATTAAGACTCAAATATTCTAAAATTTAAGAAGGCATCAGGATTAAAAGTCAGGCCCACAATATTCGCCAAAAGTATGATTCTTTGTTTAACAAAAGTTGCTCTCAATAATTTCAAATATTATCTAGCTTTTTAAACTTGTAATTTCCTCGTCTAAATGCCGTAATTTTTTTAGAATATCCATCCTCAGAATATTGAATAAGATTATTTATTTCTTCTCAAGCTTGTTGTAAGGATACTGAAATTTCAGTAAAGCACAGCTTGTCTCTTGAAAATGGTCTACATAAGAAATTATAGAAAGCAATAATTATTTTAAAAATCGGGTGTGACCAAGAAATGGGTGTGGTCTAAAGGGTGTAGTCAACCCTCTATCTCATTTCGGCGGTAGTCAGATTTTTGGCTGGATCCGCCACTGCACTCTGCAGGCAAAAGTGCGTCCACATTATGTCAATGTCAAGGAATGTCACTGTCTCTGTCAGAGTTCTTGTCTCAATGACATGTACACATTCACAGGTTTGAATAGTATTGTTTTGGCAATCTCCAACTTATGTGCACATTTTACTCTAAAAAAATCAAGCTGAATTCAAATATTACTAATGGTTAGTCATCGAAAATGAAGATCTTTATGCCCCTCTTACAATTTGGTACCCAGACATAGGCAAAGGTGATATTGCTTCACTTCTAGTTGTGGCTGAATGATGTCTTTGATTACTTCACATTCTTTTTGTTTTCTTCAGTTCCTCCATCTTGGTCTCTCAATAAAATTTTGTTGTCGCTGCCAATGTCAAATTTTGTCGTCGCTGCCTATGTAAAAAGGTATTTGGTAGTGCCAATGCACTTATTCGCATTAATTGATGCGATAAAACTTTCATGCCATGCTCTGAGCCCATCAGCCAGGGAATGTATCATCACTGTTTTGCCGATGACAATAATGATATCCCCAAGAGAAAATGATAAATGAACATTAAAAATCAACATAGAAAAATAACAGACGAAAAAATCATGAAAAATTCGTTATATCAAGGGTAATTATGATGAAGGGACCAAAAATTTGGTTGGTAGTATCAAGAGATATCCCGAGTTCGTTATATCCAGGGTTCATTATATTGGGATTCCACTGTATATATATAGACTGTGATACATCTGACCCCCGACTGGTGGTGCATCTCAGTCAACTTCACAGAGGTCCTTAATACTTGGGAAGAAGCCTGATGAGAAGAATTAGAGTTGAAGATTAACAAGTGGAACCAAAACATTGTTCTGGCTGCTTGAAGTTGCTCAGTGTTGATGCTTATTTTTTTTTAAATCATATCAAGCCTGTACTTCTGCCCCCCTCCCCCCGAAACTACTTGAGAATTACAAGCAAAAAAATTGACTATACTTGATCTGGGTACTTGTAAACATTTTGAAAGGTATTCAGGCGTTGTATGAAATGAATGAAGAAGGTGAGGCAGAAATGGGCGTTACAACTAGGCAGTTGAGGCCTTAAGTTCAAAATTAAATTGCTGAATTCTTGTAAACATAAATTAGTTAACGAATGAATATGTTTAGATACATACCAGGCGTATAACCATTTGCCAAAACCTTCTTCTTCCCGGCTGGGTTGCTTTCCGGCATCTTTGGATGTATTTCATAGGCCGGGCCTATCAATGACTTCCCGACACTTCGCTCCCTTTTCATCGCTTCACAATCCGTAATTTTGACCATTGAATTAAATTGCTTTGTTGAAATACAGTTCTAGATTTCCATTTACCGGCTTACACCTACAGCAACGGCATCACCGTATTGCAAATTCTAGTTATGTAAAAACCAACTTGCCAGCCGCGAACGACCGATGTTCCAAAGTACACCTCCGCCTCCGCAGTAGAATTGCACAATAGTGCAACAACATTGGGGACTTCTAGGAAAGATTGTCAAAGGACAAGTTCGTGCTCGAAGGTCAAAAGCCATTTTGGTCACAAAATAAGAATTTCTATACCGAGATTTGGTCACGGACATCCCACGGGCAGCGCCAAAGGGGGCTGGGGGGCTTGAAACGAACTTTCTTGCCAAGAAAGGTTTTTTTAGCAGAAGGTAGAAAAGAATGGAGAAGAAAAATGGAAGAAAAGTAATATATCTTTAGAAAAAGTACAAGAAATGAAAAAAGTGCTCCAAGTGTGCCCATTCTGAGGTTTTCTTGTTACTTCAACCAACACAAAAGTTTATTTTTGGAGCCAGAAAGGTCATGACTTGCGATTCTGACATAAAGAAAAATAAAACTAATAATTAATAGAGAGTGCGGGAAAAATCCTGTTGTCTGAAAACTAATAATTCAAATGCTTCGGCAATGTTGCACGTCTATAAACCAATTACTGATTCACTTGATGTAGCTGAAATTTTAAATGAATTTATATCAAAAATCTGATTCTATGCTTCGCTTATTTGGTAGATTTTCATGGCTTATACATTTATACATCATTATGTTGCGATATTTTCTCGAGCCTTTTTTGAATATCATATTCACATCTAGCTAAATACATATCAATTAAAAGAATCAAGGTTTTTTAAATATAATTACTTAATTTCACAGGAATTGGGTTGCTTGGGTTTGATTACGCTCATTTTCATATTGACACTCATATTTCACATTTCATATTTTATTTGTGATCATTAAAAGCTGTATCGTAAGCATAACTTTCAACACTTTGTGTCGCCATTCGATTGGCAATTTTTTTTGGCAATAATTAATGAGTGGCCATAAAAACATAAGCATTATACACGACGATGCATTTTAGTGCGTTTTTCAAGAGCTGGATCTCAGCATTTTGCTACTGTTTCTCAAAAGGCCACTTGACCTCATAAGTTCACCAAAAGGCTATTGCCTGTTCTTGCAAACGTTCTTTACAAATACATAACCCTTAAATCAGGACTTTTAATCCACCTTTAATTACTACTAATGCTATTTTTATGTAAATTATCAACTTTTGGATTGCAAATAGCAGAATCTGAGATGCTTTAAATTATGGTCAATTTTTATAGTTAAAAAATTATCTAGGCGAAGACGGCCTCTAACCTAATTACAACAGTAACATAACAAAATAAGTTAATAGAGACGACGCTGTTTTTAATTAAATAGAGTTTAATCAGAATCGGTCAAAGAAAGTAAGACGAAAATAACAATTTTCAAAATGGTACCTATCGTGTTCCGAATATCTCGTGTTCCGAACATCAATGCGAGTCATAGAAATATGTTCTCGATTATTGATTATACAAGCTCTAATCTATTCTGTAATCAAGTCCCTTAAAATACATCGACAGCCTGATTATGTTGCGTATATTGATTATGTTAATTAAGTTAATTATGCTAAGACATTATAGTACTCTGCAGATGCAAATGCAATGTGATATTTTATAGGGTATCGGCTTTCGTTGCAGCCTACGAGGCATTTCATATGGAAAAATTATTGTCTGCTCAACTATTGTGGCTAACCAGTAAAGCCACTTGATTTTTGCTACTTAGAGGGAGTAATCTTTTGAGAAAAACAAACACGTGTGGCGTAATCCGAGGAAATGTTGCTATTTTGCAGAGGTATGTATCTTTTGTACTTTAAAATGCCTGGAAAGTAGCCGGCCGAAACTATAACCAATCGAGCAGCTTGTCAAGGTTTGTCTGTGCTCAAGAATAAAACACCCTCGATGATTTATTTTACGTCGCAGCCCAGTCTTTTGTAACATTCAAATTTGTTTGCTTGTCTTTTTAATGTAAAAATGCTAGAAGATGAAAGGTAGTTCGCATTTCCTCTCTTTACATTGATGCTGAAACGTTCAGCCATAATATTCGAGTCCCATTGCGGGCAATGCCTGCAACTACCCTGAGTGTTACGTCACACGGCGTTTGCTAGCTTGCAAGGAGCAATCACAACCCGTCAAAATAACGATTGGAATCTTTCGTGCTGCGAAAAATAGAAAGCAGCCTAAATTCTGATGAATATTAACTCTTTTAATCAGAATTTTAATTCATTTAAAATAATGCTTAAGAGATGTGATCAGCGGTGATTATTTCTATTGACTGCAATCGCTCAATGTGAACATTGATTACAAACGATCACTTGTGTGCTAACAGTTTTCCGTTATCTTGCATCCCCAGGAATCGACTGTAAAAGACGGCATATACATAAAGGCAATTGAAGTTTGTTTCTGACTTTCAAGGAAACGCATGTACGAGAGGGATCAGTTAAAAAAACAACTTCATTTGCGTAAACAAATCCCCTGATTGTCACAGTACAATAAAAACCATAGTCTAAAAAATCTGCTTTCTAGGAAGCATAAATAACCTTAGCAGGTGGCAGTTTGACATACACTAACAGAATGGATACTAATGATAGCAAATTTTCTGAGAGATCAAAACACAGGAAAAATGCCCTTATATCTGCACCGAAACTGATCGATTTAGCTAAGGAATCGCCAAAGAGCGTTAGAAAAGACGAAACTATCCGGTCTCGCACAAGATCACTCCATACTGCACCAACCTGGCAAACATCAATGCCAGATACCTCAAGGACATCGTTACATGGTGATAAAAAATTGCAAAAATACAGCGAAAATCTGCCTAGTCAGCGAACAAAATCAGGAAAGCAAAGAAATTATGTCGCTGCTAGTCCTTCGCTAAGCAATAAAAGAGGGGCAAAAATCTCGAGAAGGACCAAGTCACTTGTACATAACAACAGAAGAGAAATTTCCATTGACGCAAACAATTTACTTCGTCATAGAGCGCACACTACCGATGGAACACTTCAGAGACCCATTTCCGCGTTTCCTTTTGTTGGTGGTTATAACCAAGATGAAATCTCATGGAGCAGATATTGGCATATAGCAAGAAATCGTGAAGGAACGTTTGAAGGGTGGGATGTCGAGAAGGACGCATTGAAAATATTTAACAAGGAATCAATAAAAGCTCGTTTTCTCAAGGTTTCAACAGAAAGTTTTCCAGCGATCAACCCTGGCAACAGTGACCAAACGGAGCAAGAATTGATTTTGCCCATGATGGAACTGACTTTAGAGGAAAGACTTGAAAAAATTGAGAGAGAAAGAGGACTGGTCAATCATTTAACTGGAAAGACGTGAAACAGTTGAATGAATGATAAAGACGAGATATTAAAGAATTGCAGGCGATAAAAAGCTACTGAGTCGATAATAAATCCAGCAGAATTAAGCTGGGATTTGAAAGCCTAGGGCAGTCAATCGAAATGACCTAGCACTGGAATGATTTGCAATAAACTGAAGTGTGTGCTTTAAGGTTGTGTGTACGAAAGGGCATCTTGCTAAGCATTATTCTGTATATTCAGAACGAATAACTTAATTCGATATCATGCAAAGCTACACATGATATCAAACGTGCCTCCTATCACAGATTTTTATTTCAAAAGATAAACAAATGTACAAACTATAGACAAGCATATATTTTGTGTTAAATTGTTTCGTGTGAAATAAAGTAATAGTACCTCCTGTAAAAACTAAGAAAAGCTTTTTACACGTTCCATTCAATGATAAGAGTAAAATACCTTATGAAGGAACTAATAGTAGTACCCAGTGCCCATAAACTGGAAGATGTTAGGTGCAGAAATTACACTGCAAGAAGGAAATCCCTAAGACGTAGTTGCATTCTTGTTCATAGCTAACACAAGTTGTTGGAAAGTCATACCTTTATCATTTTCTTCGACCTAATGATCTGATACAATCTAAACTTCTAATTTTCATTATCATTGTATTAAACGCATTACAGCTTAAAGTGATCACTATTTTGAAGGAACACTTTTATAACTGCCACTGTTGCATTTTTGAAATCCGAGTTGGAATCTGCTTGAACTGCTTTTCAATGTGTTATACTAAGATGATACTTCGTGTATCTATCGTGTCGAAATTCAATTCAGAAATTGGCACGCTAGTAGAATGTCCTTATCGATGTAGACGAATTTTGAAAGGCACTTGCCAGTTTTTACTAGTAGACAAATCATTGCTGTCTTTTGTTCACGACTGCTATGGTTACCACTATATGAATTGTTACAATTCAAGCCAATTGAATACTTGGATCTAACTCTTGTCCTGTCCGCGACTTTAAAGGCTTTCAAGTCGATAGAACCAACCATTACCGTAAATCGTAAAAGGGGCTTGTTTCAAGGTTTAGTATTTTCCTCAAAGGTCAACATAAAAACGACATAATTTTCTCAATGAAATAAATTGAAAAATTAAAAAAAAGTGTGAAGATCTAACAAATATTATAAATTTTTATCATCACAAAATTCGCTTTTTTGCTTTTTGGTCTCCAGTCAAAGGAAATAATACTGTAAAGCTATTATCCTGTGGGGGCTCTATATATAAAATATTATTCTGCTGAAATATTAAGATATTATCCTGCAATTATGCTTCCCTTGAATAAGCCCCCACGGGGGCCTTATTCAAGGATTTACGGTATGAACATTTCTTCTTTTCAATGTGGTTTAAGAATTTATTATGACAGAGGTTGTAAATATACATGAGCAAGGCACTCGTCACTATTAGATCAATTGAAAAGCTTTGAAAACCACCGTAGTATTTGAAAATCAGGGAAACGTTTGATCAATTTACTATGTTTAACTTTGAAAATGTAACTTTCGAAGATGTAGGAAAGATAATTTACAACCCAGGGGAAGACAATCAACAGGAGCCGATAAAATCCCCGAAATGGACGTTGTCTCTGAACCACTAGCTGAAATATTCAATCGATCTCTTTCTTATAAAACATTTCCATTTCTTATGAAAATGGCTAATGTGTGCCCGATTTTCAAAAAAAGGGGTTTAAATAGTAAAAAGAATTATAGACCAATAGGTGTGCTCCCCTCAGCTTCAAAGATATTTGAGAGAATAATGTTCGATCTGTTAAATTTGTTAAACTGTTCCCTTTGCTTTGTAGATTCAGAAAGGGTTATAGCACACAGCACGCATTATTACAACTTATTAAAGGTCTGAAAAAGTGCCCGAATAAAAAAGATGTGGCTGGTGCAGTGCTTATGGATTTATCAAAAGCATTTGATTGTTTACCCCTTGTACTTCTACTAGCCAAATTGAAATCTTATGGCTTCATCGACAACGCAATGGAATTTATGTATAGTTATTTAAATAAAAGAGCACAACGAGTAATGATAAACTCAGATTTTAGTGATTGGATGGAAACAAAGCAAGGAGTTCCTCAAGGATCAATCTTAGGCTAAATGCTTTTCAACATTTACACAAACGATATATTTTTGCATTTGAACAAAAGCAACTTGTGCAACTATGCAGATGACAAAACAAGTACTGATAAGAATGAATTAACTGACGACCAAGAATTGGAAGCAACTATTTTTAATAAATGGTTGTGTGAGAATTTTTTGGTGCTCAATGGCGATAAAAGCAAGCCTATAACTTTTAAAGCCAACCGATCCAATTTAGAGGAGTCTAAAATTCAAATAAATTGTTCTACTATAAACGAAAGTACGAATGTTGAATTATTGGGAGTAACACCAGACCATCAACTAAGATTAGAAGAGCATATTAAAGTGTTTTGTAAAGAAGCTGGGAAAAAGGTAAATGGATTGCTTCGTAAACGGACGAATCTAAGCAAATTCTTGTTCGCTTAGATTAAAACGTTCATATTATCATATTTTAATTATTGTCCTATTATTTGGTTGTTTTGCAGTAGGAAAAGTAATAATCGAATAAACCGTATTCATGAAAGAGCAATGAGAATAGCTCATGATGATTATGAATCAACTTTTGAACAATTTTTAATAAATAATAAAACAGTAACTTCTCATAAGAAAAATTTACAATATCTTGCAATAGACATTTATCAAACATTTAACGGTTTGAATTCACCTTTTATGGATGAAATATTTTCCATAAATGAATGCCCATATTACTTAAGAAACTCCCAATTCAAAACAGCTGAGCCACATTACAAAATATATGGATTTAATACCGTATCATACAGATGTAGCCAAATATGAAACTCAGTTCCGAACGAGATAAAGTACTCCCCTATTTTAGAAAAAAACTCAGAATTTACATCATTCAATTGTACTTGTAATCTTTGCAAGGAATACGTATGCAACATCGGTTATATTTGATTTACATTATATTTAGCGTTGGTAATTCAAATTAGTTGGTTTTAATTAGCTTGAGTATGCATAGCTAGAAATTGTACCAACTTCAAATAAAGAAGAAAAAAAGGCAACTTCCCCAGGAAACTTGTAATCAGAAGATTTAGGCATCAAGATTAAAATCTCATGGTAGTTAAAGAATCAAAACCTGCTCTTTATTAGGAATAAGATTCAAGTAGATGCTACTAAACATGAAAATTAACATAAAGTCAAGAGAAAAATAGAAAAAGTGGAAGAGGAGGTTTCAGCAGCATATAAGCCATAATGTCAGTAGGCTAGAAATACAGCTGAGTTTGAAATAAAGGTGCTTTAAACGTAAAATGGTAAGTACTCTAGCAATTGGTAAGCAAATGATATTGGCAAGAGATGTCGTCGAAGATAAGTTCATAAAATGTCCTGTAAAACAAATTTGTTGCACTTTGTGGGGTCTAAATACTTAATTCTGTAGCCTTGACACGTACAACTGGAAACATTCTTGTATCAAACAACTCGAACCATTGATAGAATTTGGTGTGTTGCCTCCTAGATGTACGAATTTCTTTGCAAACACATTCTGTGAGGCCTATGAAATAGTTTTCCAGCCCACTTTAAAGACGCAGCTATTCGCTGAGTAGTTCAAATCAGCTGATCCTGTAGGTAAGTGGCTTCTTTCGAAGATTACCCCGGAACATCAAAACTTTAAACGAATGAAAACTAGAGCTTTTGTGAGCCTCTTAATTAAAATGTCGGTTCCACTGCTGCTTATCAAATAAAATACATGCTCATTTAGTAAATATGTGGTCTTAATTGTTTGTAGACACTCCAAACTTCTAGATAAGTATATACGTCCTATTTGCAGCAGAGAAGAAGGCTCAAAAATTAAAGATAAGCTGCGTAAACTTAGGGCAACAATTTTAAAGGAAATAATCAAGTTATTTTCTCAGCTTTCAATTATTGGTTATGAATAAATCTTAAACTAAACACATAGAACTAAGTTTTGCGTAGAGAAACAGCTAAATAACCAATGGCCAATTGTTAAATATATAGCTAAATTTTAAGAAGACATTGATTGTAGAGTGGTGAAAGTTAGATTGGAGCATGAAGCAGCGTAGGGTGTCAAATATGGGTGATATTGTTAGGATCTATGTAATAGCCTCTGCACTGTTTATGTGCGCGTTTTCTTTCACCCCTTTTGGTAAGTTTTGCTTAATATTCAATTTTGACATGTTCAAATTTTGCAATCTTGAAATGTTCAAGTCTTACAAATTTGTTATTAGTGGTGGGTAATTGACACTTTAAAGCGGTTGAGAAGCAAGCAGAATAAACTACAAGCAAGCAAAAACAAGTTGCAATCATGCTTTGAATGGTCCTGTTGGTGTCGTAATGGGATTCAATTCATCTATTTGCAGTTGAGTTAGTAGGTTCAGGAGACCAAGTCTTCCAATTAGCGGAGCAAAACACAGATAAAATTTTCCATTGAGTCACTTTCTTACAGGCAACGGGATTGCGCAATTAACTTAGCCTCTAAGTTTTATAGTTATGATAAATACAGAAAAACATTCATGCTATAAAAAATAATAAAATTGTTTTTGTCACTTGAGTTGAGCACAAGAATTTTACGTTAATGATTCTTTTTAACCTTTTCGTTGCTCTTTAATTTATAGAGGAGAGATATCAATGATCAATGTCAGAGGAACATCGTTAGTATATATCCATGCTCATTAGTAGTTTTCTAACTTTCTATTCATTTTGTTTTTCATGCAGGGAAAGAAAAACGAAGTGTGAGGCCCGGACACTCTCACTACATTCACGAAACTGTTTCTTCATTACGTATGTTACACAAAATTTTGCATAATTGTTGAAAGATACTCTAAAAACCATATCCATCGGTACAATATTATATTATATTATATTATATTATATTATATTATATTATATTATATATATTTATATTATATTTATTAATTATATTATTATATTATATTATATTATATTAATATTTATATATATATATTATATTATATTATATTATATTATATTATATTATATTATATTATATTATATTATATTATATGTCATATCATGTCATGTCATGTCATGTCATGTCATGTCATGTCATGTCATGTCATGTCATGTCATGTCATGTCATGTCATTGCTTGAAAGAGATAGGCGAAACCTTAGTCATCTATTTCCTTGACGTATTTGCAGATAGTATTTAGAAGAAATGAAGACAGATTTTCCCAAATAATTAATGAAAAAAGCAATAAGTATATCACCAAAAGCATCTTGAAAAAACTGTCTGGCAAGAAATCTTTAGAAGGGTAAGAGTGTTATTTACTTGCCAGGAAGTTTTTCAGGACTGTATTCATCTAATAGTTCTTTGAACTGTGACGATGCCTAATATCCTTTCAGAGACAATCAGGATTCAACATGCTGAAAGTGGAAGGTGTTTAGAGCCTGTTTCCAAAATTCTGAAAGCAAATGGGTGCGATGTCAGTAACAGCAATCAGCTCTTCCAAATGACACCAACAGGGATTCATCAAGGTAATGCAGTTATTACGACAGGGATTGTTTTTATCGACAGCCTAATCAGATGGAGAATTTTATTTTATCATCGAGATTTTTAATAATAATGACTCAGTGATCTTGTTTCCTATTGATTTCTGCGATGTTCCTAATAAGATTTACCTTACTTGACATAAATCAGTGGATGACAATTGTCTACCGTTTAGACTGAATATTTGAACCATTCATAAGAAGGAGACTAAATCACCTGAAGGGTTAGTTGCATTTCAAGTTAACTGATACCAGTATCTAAATTTCGCAGGAAAGCTGAAGCACTTGGGAACAAATCTGTGTTTGTCGCTCTCATCCAGCTCTGATCAGTTGATTCTGTCGTCGTGTACAACGAATAATGCCGTGAATGTGTGGAAATGTCATTTTCCCTATGTCGAACAAGGTAAAACTTGGCTCGAACGTGACTGGGCAGGGATGAGGACTGTCCAAGGAACAAAGTGTGTCAGTGTGACGAGTGATGGTCAAGTCAAGTCAAAAGATTGCACGGCTTATGGAAAAAATGTTGAAGAAAAGATATTTGTTCATGGGAAAAAGCTGATGGGAGTGTGTGCAACAGCAGGTATGGTATTGCCAATTTTTTGCAGATATACTGGTGGGAATGTTCTTTGATTTTTTCAAGTTTATGCTTTCAAAAAAAAGGAATTGGCTAGAAGAAGTTGATAGCAAGATAAGCCAAGTATGCTGTGTTCCATTCGGGTATGTCGTAAAACCTCGATTATAAATTCTTTCCCTATTTTCCACCATTCATACACCCTGAGCAGATGAAATTTTGTTTATAGTTTAAGTCTATTTTGCAATTTTCACAGGAGTTTGATCTACATCCAAAAAATATTGTCAAACGTGTATTTGACAAATCAGCGTAGTTCAGCAGAAAAGAGTACTTTAAGATTTAAAACTAAATTTATACCGAGTGCTAATGTTATAACTGGATACATAACATCATATTAGGGCCACATTTCTTTAGCTCACAATGCGTGATGCTTCACATTTTGTACCAATCAAATATAAGCTTGCGTTCTCTTTTCCAGGATACCTCGGTCCAAGAACAAATGATTCCAATTACTATTATTTTCAACATCAAAAATTTTCACTTAACTGGCAAATGAAGTACATTGAAGTTTATATGGTTTACAACAATGGCGTTGTAAGTAATATTTATTCACATAAAGCGTTTACAAGATGCACAAAAAGCAGAAGATGCTCTCTAGCTTACATCATTCAATTCAATAAACTAGTTACATCTGTTCATCATTCTACATTTGCTTAAAAATAGGGGTCTACAACAAAAAGAACGAAAACTAATCGTATTGTTCTTGTTTTGCTAACGTTATGAGGATACCTGACCATTTTTTGCCAGCATTAGCTGAAGTGTAGTTGCTTTACCAATAACATTTTTGTTGGTGTAATATGAAATTCTGCCAAATGCAAATATAATTGAAAATTTCCTATTGACAGTATAATGCATTTAAAAGCGAATATGGAACAGAAGCAGAAGCCATGAAACGAATAAGGCAGCATGCTCTCGAATCGATCAGCATTGTAGACAAGGTCAGTCCAAGAAAGTTGGTTGATTTCCTTCACGTAAAATTAGAAATCCTATCAAGATTATGTTTTTTTTTCACTTGCATACGCAGGTTGCAATCAAAATAACATAAAAATCTTGACTGGGTTTCATACCTAAGGTGGTTTAACTTTAGCAGATACCTCTCTGAGTGACGAAATATTGTTGTGAATGTTTTTGCGGTTAAAAAATTCATGAAATAGGAACTAAAATCTACGGTTTCAAACCGTTTTTGAAAAAAACATGCAAACAACATTAAGAAGACCTTTGCAAACGTTGAATAGCATACCACTAGTAAATACTTTGTTTTTGCAATTTTATTTGAAATTTGGCGTATCATCTGCCTCAATTTTAGCACTTTATAACACATTTTCCTGGGTGTTTAGTTTATAGTTCATAGTGAATGCACTGATGTAAAATTTTTGATTGCTTAAGATGTATTTGAAAGCAAAGATCAGGGTATTGCTAAAAGGGTTTGAGGTATGGAGTCAAGGAGATCTAGCCAATACCGGGAACACAAAAACAAGCTGGGAAGTCCATGGGAACTTTAGAGAATATTCTAGAAAGCTTCGACTTGAAAAAGGCCTAAAATACGATGTTGCCATACATGTATTGTAAGTATATTTAAAGAATCAATTATAAGAATTAATAACAGGGTAACATGCCTGCTGTAAAGTTGCCATTAAAATCCACAGAAAATTGCTTCTATTGAATTTAATCTAGTTAACGGGTGGTGGGATTCTGGTACAGAGTAATTATTCAGCCAAATGATATGGGCGGTTAAATTTGTATTATTTGAAAAGCGTTTTGTTTTAAACGAAATTTCACAACAAAGTAGCGGAAGAAACTGTGGCTTTTTTGTAGTAATCTTAAGTAAAACTTTCGTGATGGAAGTGTTATGTTCTGCCATTTCCTATTAAGTTACATAATAGCTATAAACCTCCTGAATACTACCTTCAAAAGCAATTGTTTCATAACTTTATGCAGATTTATTTCAACACTTTTTCTACAACAGGATATGACAATTAAATCACTCACATGGGCTACAATATGGTCCCCTCACTTTCAGCTCCGCGATTGATTAAGAAACTTCTTCTACTTCATGCCCCCATTCCAACTTCGATGCTCAAGGCATTGTTTCTGAATAATCTTTGAAACCTTGCCATTTTATTTAATATACTAGTGACAAGAATCTATATGGAGCAGCAGGAACTGCCACGTCACATTACTGCAGGCAATCAAACTGGGGAGAAGTCTTCACAATGGCTACGGTAATCTGCTTTTAAGAAAATTTCAAAGTAAGGTATGATTCCATTGAACAGTCACGTGTTTACAGGCACCAAACCTGAGTCAAATAGAGAGCTTTCACTAGTTTTAAAGCTTAATAAAGTTAGCAAAATGTGTTGAAAGTTGTCACAATGTTTACGAACACTGAGATCTATACATAGTAATTTAAAAGTTATCAATTGCTTTTATGAAGAGCTCTTAACTGTAAAATTAGCTACAAATTTTTAAGTTATTTAGACCATCACTCTCAAGGCGAGGTTTGGAATCTGAAACTTTACACTTATATTGCAGCTTGGAGGACGAGACAGAATCATTCCGAGATCTCTTGCAAATATTCTTACACATGAACTCGCCCATCATCTGCGCTCTGGACATAATTTCGGTAAGACTTCGATCACTTTAATAATTTTTATACAGATGACACCATTGAAAATAGCCACTGTTTAGATTCGAGTAGTAGCTGCTAGATTTTTGACTTGGTTTCTTTTCTACAGATCCCGAATATACATGTCCTACATATCATTTATTTGGCGGTCGTTGTACGCTTGGAGGAAACGAGTAAGTATAAGAAGCAGTACCTGCACATAAAAGAACTAATAAACCACGTTTTAGAGACATATTGGTAAACAAGTGGTAGCTAACTCTTTGCATTCAATGTATTCATTGGAAACCTGTTTAATGCTACTAGAAGCCTGCAATTATAGCTAATCTATTATCGATGCATGCAGAACAAATACATTAATTAAAAATACACTGTAAATGCATCAAAGATTCTTACATTAGTGTAATACATTGAAGGGTACGAGAAAGGTTTTTTTGGCTATTAGAGGTGACACACAAATAACAGAAAATGATACATAACCTTTTCAAAGGGAAGTTTGCTGCAAGAGGCAAGTGTTTAAAACAATGGGAAGTCACTCGTAAGTATGTTAGTATGTTAAATAAGTAAGTATGTTAAAAAGGCCCTGAAATGATTCAATGCAATTTATCCATGCTGAGTGCAAGTAAATTATTTTGTTACATTTAATAGTTGGCCAAAAGCTTTTTCAATGGGAGAACTAAATATGATCAGGGTTGACGGATTCAGCTGCTTGGACAACAAACCTAGCCAGGTCAGTAGTATAAGCCGCTTGCACTTACAATCTTTTGAATTCAACAGAGTAAACTGTATTTGGACAACTCAGTATATTGGAAACAAATGATTCTTAAGAGATTTTCCTTTTATATGCATTACAGCTATAGATGAACATGATACACGGCTTGAACGAGGCAATTAGAACGCTAGAAAAAGAAGTCATGGAAAAAGAAATGGCTTAAGATAGAAGAGTAATTTGTTCTTTTAGATAGAAGAGTAATTGAAGAGTAACTTAGATCTTTTGGATCCTGCTTTGTTTTCAAGAAAATTTAAAAGTAGTGTTTTTACTGTATTTTTATAATATTTTATAATATTTTTATAATATTTTGAATTTAGTCCAGTCTCCTTGGCTGCGGAAATGGAGTAATAGAGTCTGGTGAAGAGTGTGATTGTGGACAGTCTGAGGTAATGAATTTATCTTATGCCATGTCGGCTGCTGCCTTAACCATATTTGAGGAAATTACATTTTCAGGTGCTGTAAGGCTTTGGTAGTGTTCATAAAGACTATTATTTCGCCCCATGATTTTAAATTTTGCTTTAGAGCACTACAAATATTCACAATCGTACTTACTACTTATAGGACTGTTTGAAAAACAATCCATGCTGTGATGGCAGCATTTGTAAACTGAGGAGAAATAATGGCGCAGAATGTAGCACAGAGAGATGTTGCTCAAACTGCAAGGTATGACTGCGTCCTTTAAAAAAATTAGAAATTTTTCGTACTTGAGTTTTATTTGCACACAATCTCAAGTGCGCACACATGTTTCAGTTTGAACAAGCTGGAGAAATTGGAGCTCTGCCAGAGAGTAATTAAAGCGTTTTTGGGAGAATAGGGTATTGCTTAACGTTTTAGGGAGAATAGGGTATTCTCGGCTTTTACGCCACGATACAAGGAAAATTTCACGTTCAACGGCAATTTCAAAGTTCAATTACATCATTCAGTATGTTATAAAAAAAAGTGTTAAGCATGGAGAAATCATAAAAGTATGCATAATATCAGATATTTTTATGCACACCCATTTCACTGTTTACTACTTTGTATTTCATCGAAACTTATAAGTTTTCCAACCGTTGAACGATGAAAAAGTGACATTTCAATTCAATTCAACTTTTTATGCTGGTCTGGTTAAAGGTTATATTGAGGCACGGTTGTCAATGAGATGCATGCTGTAATAGCCGATATAGAAGAGCATACTGTTGAAATTTGCTATACTAGCCACTGTTTACACCCAGCTTTCACATCCACTGTTTCGAAGTGTACTTGTAAACACGAAACAATCCTACCATGACTTCCCCCTTATACTTCTGTTCGAGATACAATGTCAAGAAATAGAAGCAGCATTTTTCTTAATAATTCAAATCATTCAACTTTAAATCTTTAAGTACAATAATATTACTTCAAAGCGTTTTCTAATATTTCGTTCGATAACCCTTATTGCGTGCCAGAAATAGCAGTCTTTTGTGCAAAGTTCCAATCGTTTTATCAACTAATGATATACTGCAATATTTTAAGTGTTTCATTATTCTTTGCTTGAATTCGACGTAAGTTTCCTTGCAAATCTTTCTCTTCATTGCTTCTTTTTTCCACGCCAATCTCATGCTATTAAGTATATTTTCGATAGGATTTATATCCTGTGCTCTCGGAGGTATATTAAGACACTGTAGTCATCACTCATCTACAGTGTCAAGCGCCACCTTGCTTGTTTGCGAAGGATCATTGTCCATGACAAAAATCAACTTCTCTCTTCCCTTCATATCAGCCAATTCAAGAACTTTCTGTGAAGATTTTTTGCACAAACTTTGCAAAATAATGTCCCTCCATTTTTGAGTATTCCTCTATTAATGCAATACCAAATCCAGAACTGATGCCAACTAGGAAATGTATTCTTTTCCCGCCAGGCAAACTTTTTGATCATCTGCTGGTGATATTGAGTCCTTCATTCTTCTGTCTGTACACTTTGCCCTGCGATGATACAGCTTGATGATACAGCTTCTCTATAGGGTGTACTCTTGTACATAAATGAAACGCCATCTAGATAGAGCAAAGCATCATCACTCAAAAAGCGACTGTCGTGTTTCTTTTTTACCTCTTTCGCAAACTTTTCGCGTTTTAATCGGTCATCGGCCAATAAAATACCCTTTCTTCTTGCAGTTAATTTATAATACTTTGCTTCATTCAATGTTCGTATTAAAGTCCTACAGCTGACATGCACCATACCGGCCTCTCTGCCCTCCTGAAGCACTGTTACGTTGCGGTTTTCTTCTCTCATACGCAAAAAATGTTCTTATGCACCGCGCCCTATCTCGTTCGGTAAATAGACTTGGTCTTCCTGCTTTTATTTTGACAGCTTTGCTTTTCCCCTCACTTTTTGTGTTAATTCACTCTCTGCATATTCTCAGGACAGATGACGGCGATACATTGCATTGTCTGCTAATCTCTCTTTGTGACAAGTTCGTCTTTGTTCTCATAAAATAAATGTACGCTCTTTTTTTATTCGTAATATCAAAAAGACAAATGGTATTATGATACCTTGATAGAAATGGATAGAAAAATTAACAATAAACAGTAATTGCCAGGAAAACAAGACAGAACATTGAATGTGTACCGATTATGACGACCACCCTCCAAAACACTAAATCAGTCAAATTTAACATGTCAGTCTTCCCTACACATAAAGACAATGCCCGCAAAAAGTGTTCGAACAGTCAGTCCCTTCATCTTTCCTACTACAGTGAAACCCCGTTAATACGTCCACCAACGGGCCACCAAAATTTGCCGTATTAACGGGGTGGCCGTATTAACGAGGAAGGGTCAAATTTTGGAGTTTTAGGGGTAGAAATTAATACTAACATCCTAAGGAGCTGTCCTCTTTATAGACATATGGAAATGTAGATAAAGATATAAAAAAATATGTTAAATAACTAGTCCACAAACAAAACGAAACGGAAGTCCTGGGTTCTTGGGCCTTAATCACCAAATCATGTTCATGATTTTGCAAAGAGATTGGTGACTTTTGACTGGTTCGTTCTGCGCTCCAGCCAATCACTTTGAGTGTGGGAAATCACACCTGAAAGGGCGTCTGCTGTGTCATTGTTTCCTTTTGATTCGAGAAATCATAATACATCTTCAGGGCAAGATATTGCTTCACGATACAAATGGCCGTATTAACGGGGTAGAATTATAAAGAATCCGGCTGTTTGGGATCGCAAAATGTGGCCGCTGGCCGTATTACTATTAACGGGAGGCCGCATTAACGGGGGTTTTTATGAGACTATGTATGGCAAAATTTGGGCAAAACAAATGTGGTCGTAATAACGAGGTGGCCGTATTAACGAAGTGGCCGTAAGGCGGGGTTCCTCTGTAGACGTCTCCCCTCCCCTCATATACAATTTTAGATTTCGACTAGAAAATGACAAAAATGTAAGTTGGAGGGTAAATTGTTTAACCGATGTTTAGCGACATGTTCATCTTCCTTCCCAACATTGTTAAAGGGGGAGAGGGATTCGTCTGCCTGAAAAAGGGAAATGAACTGAAAAATATGCATTTATTAATCTCGGTGCTCCAACTACTTTTTGCGGCCATTGAAGGTATGATTGGGTCTTTTAAAAACATGAGAAATTTTTCGTACTTGAGTTTGAATTTGCACACAATCTCAACTTAATTTTCAAGAAGATGTTTTTAGTACAAACAAGCTGGAGAAACTGGAACTCTGCTAGGGGGTAATAAAAAGCATTTTGGGGAGAATAGGGTATTGCTTAACAGCGTTTCCCTGTTCTTTGAAGTATTCCCCTTTATCAGTCTCTTTCAATTTTCAACCTTATCAGTCCCTATGCAGTAAAATAAGCTGAAACCCTTGTATTTGTTTAAATCATTGGCTTTCGACTGCTAGTGAACGAAACACTGAACAACTCATCTGCCAGCTATTGAAGAATGTACAATGTTGACATCACCAATGTGGGCCCCTTTTCAGCACTGACCCGGAGAAATGTTAACGTTTTGTGATACTTTTTTGTCTGATAGTTGTTCATTTATTTTCAAAGAATAGACATCTTCTTATAAATTTTTGCTGCTTGTGTTTCAATGTGCATTTGCAATACTTGATAATGATAACCAAAAGTATTATCTTAACAGCAAAACCAAATCTAGAAATATAACAGTGACCCGTTGATAGGAGAACTTGCACAATCCTGGTGTTGCATAAATTGCAAAAAAGCATAGATAGGTGAAGCATTTTATGGCTACTATTGCCTATGAATTTTTCAAATAAATTGCTTTAAAACTGTCCTTTGTAGTTTGACCGCACCAGAAATGGCTGTAGCCGTAAGTATATCAAACATATAATTGCTTAAATATCTTTAAGTTGCATACATATTTTCTACATTGTTGAGAGTAGCTATACAATCTCGTCACACGGAATCTAAAGATAAGCATGACATGCTAACACAGTTTTTGTTGGAAAAAGCAACATTTACCACTCGTGCTCCGAGTTGAATTACGTAATTCTCAATTGGTCAAAGACTTATAATTTCAGAATAAAAATGATGAGTATTTTGTTTGATCTGTTTGCGTTTTTATGCAACAAGGATTAGTGATGTAAATGACTTTAGCAGCATTTTTGCATGTAGATAAAAAGCGAATATAGAAACCTTCTTTAAATAAATACAAATAAACATTTTCAATTGTCTATGCTCTTGTTGATAGCAACATCTGAAGTATTTACATGCATCGCACTCCTTATTACCTTCCATTTAGCTGCTACTAATGAATTGTAGCTTTTTACAATATATCCTTTGAAGAACAACCAAGATCTGTTTATTCCCTATTTCCATGATTTCCGTGTTTATTTTCCCCTATCATTAAAAAGGGCTCAATTTCAGCATTTTCTCTACAGCGACACCAATTGTTCTTTCTGGAAGCGATTTCGGCGAGATCGGTGAAAGTAGCGAAAATGTAAATATTTTGAAAAGCTGGAATATTCGAGTAAGTCAAGGGAGCAAGGTGACATTGATAATGAATTTAATGAAATTCGAATTTGATGAGGGTTGCCCAAATGACTATATTGAAGTTCGAGATGGTGGCTTGTCCTCCAGCCCTTTGATCGGCAGATACTGCAGGAGCCCGCCGTCCATGCACGTGACGTCATCCACAAATAGCCTTTATGTTACATACAAAAGCGATGCTTCTTTTGCAAGCCATTTCAAGCTGTTCTATACGGCATCGGACGGGCCAGCTGTTGGTAAGTAAAAATCACTCTTGCATGTTTGCTAAAATTAACACCCTAAAAAGGGGAACGCTGGCCTATTGCCAAAAAGCTGGTCGGAGCATCAGTAACTTCCCGATTGGCTGCTTGCTAGTATCAACAGCTCCATGGGCTGTTAAGTCCAAAAACTGAAGTCAGGAAAATGATACAAATTTTGAACTGAAGTGTTATTAAGAAATAGAGCAACTTCTATTGGGTAAAGTTGATTTTGCCATATGTATGTATCATATAGCTTAAGAATGATTAAAGTGGAAGTAAAAACTAAAAGGCGTTAAAATGTTTTGCCATAGGACAATTTCAGACACCTTTTTGAAACCAAACTTTAATTTCATTAAAGAACCTACATATGAACATATATGCAATACAGAAAGGCACGAGATTGTGAATAGTTATATATTTAGCAGAAAAGGTTCTCATCTGTGTAAATACTTTAAAACATTATATTCACGGTGACAGAAAATAAAGATGTTGTCATCAAAAGCAAGAAGGACGGGAAATGCTTTGAAGCAGATTACTCAAAAGCCAACGTTATAATGAACACAGGATGCAAAGATCTCTTCACATATACAAAGCAAAGCACCTTGCAGCACCAGGGTACAGGCTTGTGTTTAGAGCCTTATGACTGGTACGGCAGTTATAACAAATGGCACAAAATCTTGCTGAAAGGAGACTGCTCTAGCCATGCTTCGGTATTCATTTCGACGTCCCAAGACTCATTTGTACATGCTGCAAGCGGATATTGTCTATACAACAGCAATGGTAACCTGCACATAATGACCTGCGATGGAACGTCTTCAACAAAATTCTCAATAATCAAAGGTATTTTACAATCATTTATTAATAGTCATCCAGAAGGAAAAAGGATTCTACTGTAACTATAATATCAGACAACCAGGCATTTTGTTTTAAGATGGTCTGGTTATTACCATGTTGTGATCGTACTATCAGAAATGACGTCAATGCATCGAAATGACTATATCCATCAAGCATTTTTCCTAAAGGGATGTTATTAAGTTATCAGCTCTAGTTTATTCTAGGTTGGAGCATTCATCAATGGGTGGTATTAAAGACAAATGTTTCTTAATAGATATTTGAATTTTGGAAATCATTTCAAAAGCATTTTCACAGTATTATAATAGAGCCTAAAACCATTAGATGCCATTAAAACATCCATTAAACTACCACAGCAAACTCCCAGCAAAATGATTTCATTTTTTCAAAACTTTTTCAAAAAAATATGAAATATAAACGAGAATGTTTACTTTAAAGATAGTGGACCAACAACAAAACCACCGATTCAAGGCTCATTCAGAATACAGCATCATAGCAAGAAGTGCTTCAACTACGACTCTGCAAACCAAAGAATCCAGCTATCATCTGTCTGTGACGACTTATACTATCTAAGCACTACAAAGTCTCTAGTACACTACGCAACTGGTAAATGCGTGAGGCCTTTGTCAAACGGTGACAATTCATACATCGCACTAAGCGCAAACTGTGACGACAACACGAAGTTCGAGCTCACATCTTTTGGGTCACTGAGACAAATCAAGACCGGTTCTTGTGTCCATCCACTGAATGGAGCTTTGTATCCAAAGGAAGGACAGCCTGTAGTCATTTATCGAGGGTGCGATGTGGACCGATTGAAATTTTCATTCGGTAATGATTTTAACCGTTATTGTAGTGACAGTAGTTCTAAACAGCAGTTCCATCAAACTAAAAGCAGCATTATCAATAACTCATTATAAAAGTTAGTACTGCGAAAGGTTCTTACTATAGTCAAAGTGCTATAGAAAATGAAAGATCCACATGCGATAATCAAGCTTACTGTCTCTATCGAGGATTTTTTTATTATGAAGATTGATTTTAAAGAATCATTTTTTAATGGCCATTCAAGTTTCAGTTATATTTCTCGATTTCCCACTAGATGCTGCATGAAAATCAGTCTTTTGTTTAATGAAATTAAAAACATTAAAAAAGCATAATTTTTATGTCTTTCTTTTGTATTTTTGTTCGAAGTGGCACCCCCAGTTAGAACATT